TGGCACAGATAGGAACAGTATACAAATGAGCATAGGTACCAAAAAAAAAAAAAAAGCATAGGTCCAGGCAAATTCCAGAGGCCCTGAAACTGCATGTGGGGACAGAACTCACTCTGGCCTTTGTAGTAGGCCTCCAGCTGAACCATTGACTGTGCTCTACAATTTCCCTAGGCTCTGCCCTCAGGTGGGCAGACACTCTGAGAACATCTACCTGTCAGGCCCAGGGCAGGTGTTGGGATGGGGGAGGCAGAAATGAGACCATCTGGCTCCATCCCTGCCTCAGCACTTACTGCCTGTGCGACCCCTACGAGAGGCCTCCCCCAACCCAGCTTCACCCAGTATGAGACAAGGATTCAGCTCTCTAGGAGGATGGTCACGCCTGGGCAGGGGTCCTTCTCTTGTTAGGGGAGGAGGGGAAGCAGGCAGCACCTAGCTACCCTCGCTGCCACCTAGTGTGGGTACTGCCCTACTTCAGCCCCAGTTGCCAGGGAACCACTGGGTCCCTTGCTAACCTGGATTTCTCTATTGATGGGCAGCCTTTGTCTTCCTGCCTGGTGCGGCCACTGCTGAGGGAGGCCGGTGTCCAGCTGTGTTTCCAGGCAACTCTCCCTCTGGAGGTTGGAGGGAGATCCGCAGGGCCTTAGAGCTGGGGTTGGGCAGTAGTACCTGCCTTGGTGCTCACGCTGCTCCCACCCCTGTTCCCCTTACTTGGCAGGCAGCCCTGTGTACCTGCTGAGCTGCAAATCCTTCTTGCCTCTCCCCAGCCTGCTTAACCCTTCAAGCTCTTGTGGCTCCTGGAGAAAACACAAGCTTTGCAGCTTGCAGCTGAGGTTTGGCATGACCTGGGCACTACCTACCTATCTCCCCAAACTTCTCTCTTCTCCTGCTCCTCCCCCACCCTCACCCCCTGAGGCTCAGCATGGTTGATCTGACACCTCCTATGTACCTGCCTCTGTACCAAACACTATACAAAAGTACAAAAGAGAGCGGGCTGTGGTGGTGCACCCCTGTAATTCCAGAACTCTGGGAGGCTGAGGCAGGAGGATCACAAGTTTGAGCTCAGCCTGGGCAACTTAGCAAGACCTTGTTTGAGAAAGGTTTTTAAAAGTTTTTTTAAAGGTCTGTAGCTCAGTGCAGAGGCTCTGGATTCAATCCCAGTTATGACCAGAGAGAGAGACAGACAGAGAAACAGAATATTTGAATGAATCTCACTTGAAGAATAGGGAACATTTACTGAGGGCTTACTGTGTCAGTCCTCTTTGGGAAATTAATGTGGATCCTCTCATTTCACCCTCACCACAGCAGCCGCTCCACAGCCACAGTGCGCGAAGAGCAGAGCCGGGAGGCTTGTGTTCCTTGGTGTGTCCCCAGGTTAAGCTAAAGCCTCAGACCCAGATTCAAACCCAGCCCTTCCTAAGCCCGGCCCTGGGCTCCTTCACCAGCAGCCTGCTCTCAGGCCCTCCCTCCCCTGGCACAGCCACCCGTCTCTTGGGGACACTTTTTCGGCTTCCTGTCCTAAGGCAGTTCATACTCGCCTGGCTTGCCACCGGCACCACTCAGGCGGGGAGGGGGCTGGGTAAACAGGGTGTTGAATGCTGGTGGGAGGCTTCCTGGAGGAAGTGACTTGAGCTGAGAGCTCGAAAGGAAGAGTAGGTGGTGGCCAAGTGATGGGCGGGGTTTCCGAGCAGAGGAAGCTGCAGGTAGCATGCTCAGAGGAAGCTGAGGTGGCTGGTGCGAGCTTGTGTATGTGCAGAGGCCTGCAGGGCGCATCCTGAGGGTGGTGGGAGCGGGCGCAGGGCCCAGTCTGGGTGCCGGAACTCTTAGGCTGCAAGGTGGGGAGCTGTGGAAGCCAGGGAGTGGGTAGGCAGGGGCCCCGGCAGACCCTGGAGTGTCCTGGAGGGGTGGGGGCGTGGCAGGGCCCTGGGTCACCCCAGGGGCTTCAGCTCTGGGAAAGGGGAAGCTGCCTGAGGCCTGGGCAGTGGTACAGTCTCCTCTCCAGGGAAGCCTCGGGTTGCCCTAGGTGCTCCCCTCTTGGCCACAGCTTGGGGGCCTGGTCATGGCTTCACGAGTTGGCTTTTACCCAGGGAATTTCTGGTTCTAATTGTTTGGGAGCTTTTTCAGAGGGCATAGTCTGAGGAAGCCCTCCCTGACCTTTTGGTCTGGTCAAGCCTGTTTGGTGGAGGTGCTCAAGGCCCAGGCTGGGGTGCTGGGCTTTGTGGTGAATAAAGCAGACATCCCTGCCCTTCCTGCTGTCTGGTGGGGGAGCAACAATAAACAAGAAGCAGACAAATACTTAATTACAAACCTGCAGCTCAGGAGAAAGGGCTGCTGGGGAGGAAATCCCGTGACCTACTTTGGGCCATTACCTCACTTAAGCCTCAGATAAACACCCCCATCTTGCAGATGAGGAAACTGAGCCCCAGGGAGTGAGGTGCTCAGAGCCCAGGGAGTTGGTGGCAGGGTATGGTGGCGCTCAGAGACTTGAGGGAAGAGTGGCCTCTGAGCTGACTTCCTTCTTGGCTAGGACCTCTGGGGCCCACTTCTCCCTCCGGTGTGGCTGGGGAGGAGAGCTTCCTTCCCCTCCTCCTGTCAGCCCCACAGTCCCACCAGGTGCATGGCAGCAGGAGGGAGGCTCCGATCCACTGTCCATCCTCTGAGTCTGTCTCCTCGTCACTGACAGCTGTCCTTCAGAAAGCCCTCCAGAGGTGCTGGGCTTTGTCACTGACTGCCCGGCCCTGGGGACCAGGCACAGTGGGGATGGGACCCCTGGTCCCTGGGCGTCTCCCTGAACTTGCTTTGCATCCCCTTCAGGGCCGTGGCTTAGACACCGGAGGCTGGGGGAGGGCAGAGGTCCGAGCGTGGGTGTGCGCACTTGTGCAGTGGGCTCTTTTGCCTGACTGTGCAGGTCCACTGAGGGCTCAGTCTGGGTGAGTGTGGGGCAGACTGGAGTAAGTGCCAGTTTGGGGTAATTAGAAGGCACATAATTAGAAGGCGCGAGGGCGCTGGGCGGTAAATGTCTGTGAATGCGCCCAAGTGGACCTCTCTGGCTCTGAGTCTGGGCCTCTGGAACCTTGCTTTCCTCTTGGAGGTCTCCAGATCGCACCGCTCCATGCCTGTCTACAGACGAGCAGCTGCGCAGCTCGTGCGTTTGGGCTCAGGTCACCCAGCAGGTGCCACTGGGGTCAGGGGTGTTTCTGGGACTCTGGTTTTGCTTCTTACTTTTCACCCACTGCGCAAGGGCTGGCGGCAAGCTATGGGGAGAGCGTGAGGGTTGGGGCTGTGGTCAGGTCTGTGGCTCAGAGCCCTTGAAGGACCGGGACCGAGTCACGGGGAGATGGGCTGGGGTGGGGGTGCTGAGCAGTGGAACGACATTGTGGGCAGGGCGTGGAAGGAAGACCTGTGACTGAATCTGAGGAGGAACAGTTTAGGGATAAGTCAGTACCAACTGTTGAGTGTGGACTGCCAGATGTGGCCTTCACTTAGCTCTCCTGGCCTCCCCTGTCCCTGGTTTTCCCCTTGGCCAGCCTGGGACAGAGAGTGGCGGGCTGCCAGTGACCTGGAGAGTCCCGAGGATGATGTGACTGCTGCCCCTCCTCCTCCCCTGGGTGTAACTCAAGCCTGGGCCAGGCCCAGGTCAGGTGGGCAGATCGGTTTCTCCGCTCCTTTTCCAGAGGAGAAGTCCCGGCTGCCCACAGGGAGAGGGGCGCTCATGTGACCTGGAACCTGCTGTAGGCTGCCTGTCTCCCACTGGGCTTAGTGTCAGACAGGCCAGAGGCCTGGGTTAGTGTCTGGATTTTCTGAGGCCCATGGGCCACCCTTGAGCTTCAGAGGTGGCCTGTGCTGAGAGGCCTGCTGTTCATGAGCTCTGCTTCCCTGACGGCCCTGAAACCCCAGCTTCTGGCGGATACACTGGGGACTTCCTTGCTCTTCCTCAGTCTGTTGTCCCAGTGTTGGCCATTGGCTAGACTTACCTGGAAGCAGCCAAAGTCAGGGTCAGGATCTATAACTGATGTTTCGGCATGCATCATACCCTCACCCTGCTTTACTTTATTTCTCAGCGCTTCCCCGCTACTGGCAGGGGCACCTCTTTCTCTCTCTCCCTCTCTCTGTCATTCTGCCACTTGTGCCTCCTAGGATGGGGTTCCCTGAGGACAGGGCCCTTGTCTGTCCTATTTGTGCCTCATCCTTAAGAGTCGAGGGCTGTAGGTGCATAGGAGGTGCTGGAGAGCTGAGGGGAGGCTGGCTGCTGGCTGCTGTGACCACCCCACCCCTGCAGGTCTGCCGTGGCACCAGGCAGGCAGGGATGCGAGCAGACATGCCCCCCCACCCCAGGGACCAGGACATGGAAGGACCAGGCCTGTGTGGAGTATGGGGGAGGGACCAGGGAGGATAGGAAGCTCTGGAAATCAGATTTAGCTTTGGGGAAAGCTAGAGAAGCTTCCAGAAAGAGGCTTGTGTTGAGCTTTGGTGGTGGTGGTGGTGGAGGGTGCGCACGGTTCTTCCTTGCGCAGAACGAGCACGAGTGAAGGCAGAGGAGCAGGAGAGGCACAAGCTTGCAGACCTGTGAGAGACCTGGCTGGCGGGAGCCTGAGAGCTGCAAAGGGAGCAGAGAGGCCAGGGCTGGGGTGCCGCAGCCCTCTCAGCCTGGCCCCAGACCTCCCCACGCTTCCTTCCTCCCTCCCTCCGAGCTCCCTTGCTGATGCTGCAGGGCACCTGGCTGTTTATGGGAGGGGAAGGAAGTCCTTCCTCCTCAGGGAAGCCTCCCCATCCTGCAGAGCCCTCCGCCTGCCCTGCCATCCCGGTCTGGCCTGTGAGCTGGCCCTAGACTGCAGCCCCTGGCTCGCATCTGAGCGGGGGAGGGCGAGCCACCTCATGCTCTGTCTGCCCAGTAGCACCTTGCAAACTCCTTGTCAAGTCCTGTCACGTGGAAGGTGGCCTGGGGGCACAGTAGCTGCCTACCTGTCCCCACTGCCCCCTCTACTCCCCATCTTCTGCCCTAGGCCGGTGACCACTGTGGGGCCTGATGATGAAGCTGAGCCCACTATGCTGCCCTCTGTCCTGCCTCTGTGCGGTAAGTTTGGGATGGCCTGGGAGAAGCCAGAAGAACCCTGAGCCCCATGTCCAGCCCTCCAGGGATTCTGCTCCCGAACTGAACTGTGTGGGGTGAGGCGTGGCTTCTCTTCTTGGGAAGAATTTGAGACTGCCAGACCCTAAGAAGCACCTCCATGCCCCCCGCCCACATGAGATGTTAAGCAGGTGGGAAGGCCGTGGCATCCAAGAGGGGGGAACCAAATTTCCCAACTCATCCCCACCCAGCCAGGTGGAGGGGAGAAGGCAGGGCTTGCTGATGTTGTGCTAGTCAAGGAGGCATGGCTGACAGCAACGTTCCTGTCAGCAGGCAGGTCTGGGGATCAAGACCAGCCGAGGTGGCCCAGGGCATGGAGGAATTTGGGCCAAAGAGGCCTAGGACTTGGAGCATTTTAGATTGCTGGAGTTACGATCAGTATTGGTCTAGGGACCCTAGCCTGCAGCCGGTATTAGGGATCAGGCATGAGTAGAATCAGACTACTGCACCTGCAGACTTGCTGCCTCAGGCAGTGTCTTAGAGTCTGGTCTGGGATCATCTTTCTGCTGAAGTCCAGGGAGGGTGAGACTGGGCCTTGGGCAGGAGGCCTCCCAGCTTTAGCAGGTGCAGGGAGCTAGCTCTGGAGATCGCCAGAGCCTCTGTGTGAAGTTCCACCTCCAGGGCAGCTTGGTCTGTGCTGTGACTGGTGGGCCCCCAACAAACTGGGCCACCCTGGAGGAGGGGGTACCCCGCAGGAGTTCAGTTCATACACGTGGATCCAGTGGGGAGTAAAGAAGGAGCGGAGGGAGCACATCATGGAAGGGGCTGGGAGCACCCATTGAAAAGACCCTTCCTTTGCAACGTGGCCTACCCTGTTTGGGTACGGGGGTGTGAACGGGGTGACCTCGCCGCGGGCGATGGTCACAGAGGAGGATGTGGTCTCAGAGACTCAGCCCAGGACTCAGAATAGTAAGTGCCACTGTAGCCTTGGCTCCAGGGAGGATAAACAGAGGCTGGCTAATGACATACCCAGCTGTGACGAGGGTTGGGGGTGGCAGGAAGAGGGACGGAATCCGAGTGAGGAGAGGAGTTCGCAAGCATTTCCTCCTCGTCTGCTTGGTCAGCCGGAAGGGGTGTAACTCAGAGACCTAAGGGTTTGAGGTCCTGACGCCTTGTCTGGTGCTTTCTAGAAGCAGGTGTGATTCTCTCCATACGCTGGCACTGGTTATGTTCGGGACGGGGCAGGTTTTCCTTGCAATGTGAGGGATCGAAGTTACAAGAGTGTCTCTGAAGCCTGAGGGGGCGCAGGGTAGCCCTGTGAGGTCAGTGATTTCCCACACTCAGGACCTCAGGAAGTAGGCAGCGGACAGATGACCCCGAAGGGCCCACAACCCATGCTTTCTGCCCCTCAGCATGCTCCTGCCTCCTGTTCTTTCAGCTGCTGTCCGGAGCTCTGACCATTCCAACATCAACAACCCCTGGGCAGTGCCCACCTGGGGAGGAGCCTGACCCGGTGAGCACTTGCTGCCCGTCTGCGCTGTCCTGGGAAGACTCCTGGGGGCCAGCGGTGGAGTCCCAGGCCTGGCTTCCCCGGGGACCTCTGCTCTGGCTCCTGGCCTTGTTCTCATCCTTTCTGTCCCACAGGAGCCGGGCCAGGGCGCACCATGCAGGTCCTGCCCTCCGGGCACCTTCTCAGCCTCCTGGGGCTCCAGCCCATGCCAGCCCCATAACCGCTGCAGCCTTCAAAGGAGGCTGGAGGCCCAGGCCGGCACCTCGACTCAGGATGCGCTGTGTGGAGGCTGCCAGCCAGGGTGAGCACAGGGGCCGGAGGTGGGAGGCTCAGGCCTGGGAGGCCAGGACCCTGGATGCTGGGGTTCCACCCTCATTCCTGAGCAGGCTTCAGTCTCCCCATCCATGAAATGGTGGGGCGGGACTGCCGAGGGTACAAAAAGGGAGCCAGACTCTCTGGAGGATAGTTGTTTGGAGAAACTTCGGGACTTCAGTGACATCTTCCCTCTCTGCAGGTGGTTTGAGCCTGGGGGCGACGCCCCTCTCCCATGTCAGCCATGCTCCTGGGCACCTCTGAGTACTCACGGCTGCGAGGGTGAGTGGCAGACTGGGCGTGTGCGGGAAGGGTCCAGTGAGCCGAGCGCGGGAGGGCCAGGGTGGTGGGATCCTCTGGGGGAGCGCAGGCGGCCAAGGGGTGTCCTGAAGCTATGGTCGCTCAGACACCCTGTTTCTGAGTGGCAGAGACTGTCCAGCAGGTGGCAGCCACAGTTAGGGGATTGGGGTTCACATCCTGACCAGTCCTCTGTCCCGTCCTCCCCACGGACCTCTGCAGCAATGCACCCTCACACATCCAAGCAAGTTCACGCAGCTCCTCTCCCACGGAGCCCCGCGCCTCAGAAGCAGCCGGTTCACAGACCAGGCCACAGGGCTGCAGGATGTCCCTGGGCCCAGGGAGGGGCACATGTTACTGTGGGCACGTTCCTCTCACGCAAGCCTGAGGGTCTCATGATAACTGATGCACTGGCCAGAAGAGGAGGAAAGGAAGGGTCCTGAGCTGGCCTTGGCCTCCTGAGGTGGTCGGTGGGGGCTGCCGGGCACATCCGCTCCTTCTCCCCCTCCATGCGTGGGGCGCAGGGCCTCTGCTCCTCCGTAAGTGTCCGTTTTGTCTGCCCCGGTCTTGCCTCTGTCCGTCGTGGTGCTCAGAGTCGGGGCGGCGGGCCCGGCGTGGTGTGGAGGTGGCAGCAGGAGCTGGCAGTGGCAGTGGCAGTGAGAAGAGGCAGCCTGGAAACGGCACACGCGCAGGTGGCCCCGAAGAGACGGCTACCCAGTACGCGGTGATCGCCATCGTGCCCATCTTCTGCCTCATGGGGCTGCTGGGCATCCTGGTGTGCAACCTGCTCAAGCGGAAGGGCTACCACTGCACAGCCCGCAAGGAGGGCGGGCCCGCGCCCGGCAGTGGAAGCAGCGGTGAGGCCCGCCCTGCGGTCCACGTGGGAGGCTGGGGAGCGCGGACTGGCTGGGCCCCACGCCGGCATGGGGCTGCCAGAGGGAAACTCCTGGCTGGGACCTGAAGGGAGAGGCCTGTAGGTGCTGTTGCTGCATGGGAGCCTTAGAGGAGACGGTCACAGACTGACAGGGGGAAGGTGAGGGACTGAGGTGTGGGGTCAGGGGCAGAGCAGGGGCAGGACAGTTGCTCACATGGCAGTAGTGGAACTTCCATCCTGGATAAGGCCCTCCCTCCCTAGCTGTGGCTTCTGGACTCCCTGGGGGCTACAGTCGTACGCGTGATTCAAAGGCTGGATGACCTTTCAAGTACTGAAGGGACCTCCGACCTCTGGCCTGGCACTGGAGGAATGCCCTGCAGCCGGAGGGCTGGCAGGGCAGCTGCCCTGGGCGGGCACCACGAGGGGCTCAGGTTGCAGCTCCAGGCTAGGCTTTGAGTTACAAGTCCTGGAACCAGAGGAGAGGAATGTTCTTCCGCCCCCACGCTGGGCCTCAGGCCCCTTTTTCCTCCCCACCAGACCAGTGCCCCAGAAGGGCTGGGGACCCCACATACATATACACTGCCCTGGGCCCATAGGATCCTTCTGGCTAAGTCCAGGGTGAAGTGGCACCTCCAGTGCCAGTCTCCGAGGCTGCCTGGGACTGGCAGGGCCCCTTCCAACTCCTAACGCTAAAGTCTGGAGGGGGGGGCAGGCAGGTGATGACTCAGGGCTGTTTTGCCTGGGACAGTACTTGTCTTCCTAGCCTAGTGACTTTCTTTTAACTGCTGGCTGCTTCCCAGGCGCGAGTTCTGACACCCTGGGCTGGGCTCAGGGTGGGATCACAGTGGCCCCCTCCCACGCCCTTGAGGTTTGGGCCCAGAGCTGACCAGTGGCCTTCGGTTAAACAGTTCCATGGACAGGGTGGTGTGCGGGAGGAAATGGGCCTGAAATAGTAGTTTATTGTAGATGTTGGATGTGCTCCCTAAGGCCGGGGCAGGGCAGGGCTATCCCAGAAGAGGCTGACAGAGTCTCTGCCCTCCACGGTTTGCAGGGACTGTGGAGTTCAGGTGGCCCTGAAACCACTGAACATTTGGAGCTGTTGCGTACAGGAGTAATGTGGATAGTAAAGGTGACAATGGGCTTCCCTGAGTGGCAGCCATTGCCTGAACACACAGGTGGCTCGTACAGCTGAGGACGGCCTGGGGCGCCCTCTGCCGGCAGATCGCAGAGTCCTCCCACCCCTCCCCTAGGATCATGGTCCTTCTCTGCTCTTCCCTAGGGATCAACCCTGCCTACCGGACAGATGACACCAACGAGGACACTATTGGCATCCTGGTGCGCCTGATCACAGAGAAGAAGGGTGAGAGGAGGGTCTAACCCATCCCCGTGCCCAAGAGCAGAGGGCCTCCTCTGAGGGCCAGCGAGCAGGCAGGTCATCCTCCTACCCTGGCCTCCCCACCCTGGGGCCGCAGGCTGGCTTGGTGCTCTGATCTGGGTGCGACCCGTGGGGGTCTGGGCTTGCCGGATACGGGGCAGAGGAAAAGGCTCACAGCCCAGACTGGGGACGGGGGTTGGGTAGGTGAGGGGTTCTCTGCTGGGGCAGGATGAGGGCTCCCATCATGTCAGAGCAGGGTTCTGACCACAGCTGCCCACAGAGAATGCGGCAGCCCTGGAGGAGCTGCTGAAGGAGTACCACAGCAAACAGCTGGTGCAGACGAGCCACAGGCCTGTGCCCAGGTGAGAGGGGCAAGGCCTCGGCCCATCTGCTTCCCTCCTGGGGCTCCCCTCTTGGGTCTCTTCAGTCTCGAGACACCCTCCGCCCCTCTGTCTGTGGCTCTCCTGGCCCTGGGCCTGGCCTGCCCTAGCGACTGCACCCCTGTGCCTCCCTGTAGGCTGCCGCCGGCCTCCCCCAGCGTGCCGCACATCTGCCCTCATCGCCACCACCTCCACACCGTGCAGGGCCTGGCCTCACTCTCTGGCCCCTGTTGCTCCCGATGTAGCCAGAAGAAGTGGCCTGAGGTGCTGCTGTCCCCTGAGGCTGCGGCTGCCTCCACTCCAGCTCCCAGCCTCCTGCCCAACCTGGCCAGGGCTCCCAAGGCCGGGGCCAAGGCAGGACGCCAGGGCGAGATCACCATCTTGTCTGTGGGCAGGTGAGGTGACAGGTGACAGGCACAGCAGTGTCATGAGAAACATGATGGCTTGTGTCCAGCCCCGAGCCCCTTGTTCCATTGGAGCTGCGTCCTTCATGGGCCTCTGGGCAGAGTCGGGGGCCAGAGGAAAATCAGGACTCCCCAGCTGTGCTCTTCCACGGAGCTCCTGGGTCCCAGGGTCCAGTCTTGGCCCTCACCACACCTGGGGCCTCGCAGACCAAGGCCTGTGCATGTGTAACCTAGAGTTGGGGTGCTGGGGGCTGGGCAAGGACAGCAGTGAAGCACTTGTCTGTGGAGGGCTGAGGCTTCACCCCTGAATTGACTGTGTGACCCTGGCAGATGCTGGGGTTCCCCTCTCAGCGGGGATGATTGCGCCGCCTCTCCTCTAGGTTCCGTGTGGCTCGAATTCCTGAGCAGAGGACGAGTTTAGTAGCATCAGAAGTGAAGACCATCACAGAGGCTGGGCCTTCCGTGGGTGATCTCCCTGACTCCCCGCAACCGGGACTCCTGCCCGAGCAGCGGGCCCTACTGGGAAGTGGTGAAAACCATACTAAGTGGCCAAAGCCCCCAGCAGAGAACAAGGTTGAGGTGAGGCATGGGGAAGTTTCCTGTTACACCCGACTGAAGAAACAACAGGTGGAGCGCAGGGGACCCTGGGCAGGGGCTACTTTCCTGGAGCCCAGAAACCCTTTTGATTTCATACTGGTCCCTCACCCTTGTCTCCCAGGAGAGCCGCTACGTGGTCCGGCTCAGTGAGAGCAACCTGGTCATCTGAGGGGCTGTCTAATCTGAGGAGGACACTCAGCCTTGCCTGGGAAGGTCCCCAAGACTTCCTGGAGGAGGCAGAGCTGCAGCTGGGACTGTGAGGACCAAGAAGCAATGACCCAGCGGACACAACAGCAAAGGTCGCAGCCTGGAGGTGGGACCGTCCGGCCCAGTGAGGAGGCAGTCAGCGGGCACCGTGTGCAGCAGATCGAGAGCCTTGCCCCGTCCCTGTTGCCCCAATCACTCGCCTGCAGGCTGCCCTAACCCTGTGCCTGCCCTGGCCACATCCTAGGAGCCCACTGGCTTCTCTGTACCCAGGGGTCTAGGCTGGGTGGAGGGGTGGCGCCTGTACTGGTGCCCGAGCCCCACCCCTGGGTGACTGCCCTAGAGCAGATGTGCCTCCCCTCCTCTTCCGGCAGGTCCTGTGAAGGGAAGGGACAACGACAAACCCTGGGCTAGGAGGCCGAGTTCCCAGGTTCTGATCCTGGGCCCGTCCCTGGCCACCACTGGGCCCAGTTTTCCTGACTGTGAAGTGGGGAGAGAATGTCTCAGGACCCAGGGCCTCTCCAGCTCCTTGCAGGTTCTGGGTGGGGTCCTGCTGGGGGAGAGCTTGACTCTGCCACCCCTCCCATTAGTAGCTTTATCTGGCCCATTCTTGCTGCTTTCTGCCTTCAAGGCCCCCAGGGGGCTGTCCAACCATAGCTCCACCTACGGACGGGGCGGAATGCATGTGCCTGCCTTCCACCTGCTGTTTCTAACGAAACTGGAAAACTGACTTGACTTGGGCAGGGCCGTGGCACAGACTTGCCTGCCCTGCTCCCCTCGGTCTCTGAAGCTTCCTGGAGAGGAGCGCTGGCAGGGCCGGCGAGCGCCGCCAGCTTCAGTGGTGTCCATCTCCCTGTGGTGCGGTGTCTGCCCTGGGGCCCTGGGCAGCGCAGGGGACGGCAGCCCACCCCACATCTCCACTCTGCCTCAGCTACCTGGTTATTTATGTGGGACCGTGCAGGCGCGGATCCACTCCCCGCCCCATTTCTCTTATTTATTAAAACTTACTATTGTCCTGCCCTTGCATCGGTGTCCCCTCCACTTGAATAATAAAAGACAGGAAAATGGTGTCCTGCAGAGCTTCTTTTTCCTGTGCCTCTTCCCAAGTCCCCTGGGCCCTGCTCTGTGCCCGGCTGCGTGCCACACAGCCTGCTCCTCCCTTCCCAGCATGTGCTGCTCAGCAGTGGGGGACACAGGTCAGGGGAGACCCCTCTTCCCACCCGCTTCCTGCTGAGGCCGAGAGAGGCAAGCCTGGCCAAGAAAATGACGTGGAACCTCACAGGTGACTTAGTTTTCTAGTAACCATATTCTAAGAGTAAAAAACATGTAGACTTAATTTTAGTATATTTTAACTCAGTATATCTAAAATAGTCTCATTGCACTATAAAACCATAAAATTACAAATAAGTTTTTTTGGGGAGGCTTTAGAATCTGGTGTGTATTTCACACTTTTTTTTGGGAGACAGGGCCTCAGTATGTAGTTCAGGCTGGCCTTGAACTCAGTGATCCTGCCTGAGCCTCCTGAATGCTGGGATTACAGGCTGCGACCCTTGGCTGTTTTACACATTTTGAAATGATCTAACATACATCAAGGGCTTACAAGTTGCAAGTGGCTGTGGTAATGGACCCTGCAGCTCTGGTTAGGGGAAGCAGCATGGTGCTGAGCCTGGGAGAGGAGGTGAGGGAGACACGGGGCTGCAGAGTGTGGGAAGGGGAGCCATGTTCCACGGAGAGGGAACAGCGTATACATAGGCCACATCAAGGGTGGTGACGTGCGCTTTGTGCCAAGGAACCTCCGAAGTGGTTAGGAAGAGCGTGACCCATCATCTCCCTTCTGGCCACTGTGCAGGGCAGGCGCTGTGGAGCTCGGCACCCTGAGGCAGCTGGTGGTGTGAAAGAGATCCAAGAGACTCCTTGGGCAGACCTGCTGGAGAAGTCCAGGGCTCGGGCTCCTTTACAGGAGGTGAGCCAAGGGATTCGGGCCAGCTGGGTGGGGCAAGAGGAGGAGCAGTCCTGGGGCACCTGATAGCCCTGGTGGATGTCCTGCGGCATCTGGCTTAAGCTCTCCGCAGACGTAAGTAGGTGATGAGAGTACCGGCCAGCACTAAGGTGGTTATTTATGCCAGGACTGGGCAGAGGGAACACAACTGGGGGAAAGGCTTATGGCAGATCCCACTTTGAGAAAGCAATGACAGGGAGGACTGAAGAAAAACAGGAGAGCCAGAGATTTAGCTCAGTGGTACTATGCCTGCCTGGCAAGCATGAGGTCCTGAGTTTGATTCTCGGTACCCTCCCCCCACAAAAAAAGCAGGAAAGGGCAGGGTCCTGGCAGCCAGGCAAGACACCGCCGCAAGATTGGGTGCTGTTGTGAGGCCAGGATTTCTGCACGCTATGGGAGACATGGACTTGGGGTCATCTCCCAGAGTGGCGAGAGCAGGGCCAGGTCTAAGTGGCTAGAGGAAGACAGCCCTGTGCACAGCCCTGGCTGTTCTAGGCCGTGGCTGATGGAGCCTTAGGTTCTGCGAGAGGTGGTTTTAGTTAAGTTGCAGCTGCTTTGGTGTTTGGTATGATGGAAGAGCGTGACACCTGTGAACACTGCTGGCCCTTCCATGAGAAGCTGAGGAGCCACTAAGAAAGTGATTCGAGGGAACCATGGGGGGCTCTGGAGCCAGGCCCACCTGCAGGGCGGACCGGCTGCACAGGCTGAACTCCACAGAGGCGTGGTGTGGGCCTGTGGAACACGACATGGGGCCAGGCCCTGGGTAGGAAAGCTAGCCTGCCCCAGAGAGGGAAGCCCATACAGGGACGCCACTGGGGGGACACAACAGATTCCGACGTTTAGGGGGTAAAATTGTCAGCACAAGTGACTGTTTGTGTAAGCCCCGTGGTTTCTCTCTACTCTTCTCTTGTACTACAAACCACCAAGTCCCATGGCCGAAGGGACAGGCCGTCACTAGGCCAGAGGAGGATGTAACAGCACTTGCTTCCTGTGGCTTCATCGCCACTAGGTACCTTGCTGTGGAGTGAGCTTCTACCCGTTCCAGCCCTGGTGAAGGCCTTGAAAAACCCATGCTTTAAGAAAGCCCCTCCTGGGTTTTGGGGCCAGACCCAGTGTGAGTTCCAGGCCTGCCCCTACCAGCTTTGTTCCCTGCCTTTAGATGGGGCTAATGATAGGGCTTACCTCACAGGGAGTTACCAGAATTACACGGGTTAGTACGAACAGATGGCTTTCAATAGACAGCAAGGTCTTTTGGGGGGGTTGTTTTGAACCCAGGGCCTCATGCTAAGCACATGCTAAGCACGCTGCCACTGAGCTCTACACCCCAGCCCCACAGGTGTCAGCCTTTAAAGGCCTCCTGTCACACAACTCAGGCCAGCTGCTGAAACTGCTGCTTGACAGTCCCCTATCAGCTATGAGGCGGCAGCCTGCACTGGGCCTACTAGGAGATGCAGCACAGGTATTTCTTACCAGTTCAAAACACTGAGAATCAACCAGGCGAGACCCCCAGGAACCCCTGGCCCAAGAGGCACCTTCTGTGCCTTCTCCCCCAAGAACCACTCAGTCTGCTCACCTAGGACTTTTTTTTTTTGGAAACTTTTTTAATAGTTATTGAATGTTCTACAGCTTACAGTAAATATCATAGTTACAAACTCTTGGCTTCAGTCTTTCATAGTGATCACTATCTGATCTTCAAAACAAAACAAAACAAAACCCAAAAGAATCCAAAACAACAAAACAAAACCAGATTTACACTTCATACACACAAGCGAGGCCATGGGGCTTTCCAATCTTTACACTCCAGGTTGTGTTTTGAAAACACCTTAAATTCTTTGATCAAACTACTTGGAAGACACCAGTCAAAGGTTTATTATTATTATTATTATTATTTTAAATGTTTTTATTTCCTTTTAAAATGTGAGTTCCAATAAATTTAAAAATTAGATTCCAACCTGTAGATTAAAATGAATTAAAAAATACAAAATCATATACAACGCTCTCTTCACAGGGATGTTACATGCCATGAGAACAGGCTTCTCTGTCATGTGATATGAAAGAGGGATGCAGAAGTCAGGAAGGGGACAGGTCCTGGGCCTGCAAAGGTCATCACAGACAACTCCAAGATCCTGGAGGCCCGACCTTACCTCCCCCTGGCTAAAGAGGAATTTGAGTTACAACACAGACCTAGACAATTTGACCGACCTGTCCAACTCTTTTGCTAACTTTTAAGCATCAGGAGGAAGATTGGCGTCTGGAGGATGCTGGTCCTGCAGGGGTCAGGCCCAAGGCTCATTTCACCCATTTGACTCCCGTGGGCTGGTACTTATCTATTCTCTTTGGGAAGGAAACTCCTCCTTCTACCAGGACTGGAATGGGTAGAACTCACTCCACTGCAAGGGTGTCTAGTGGCGATGCAGCCACAGGTGCCGTTGTGTTTCTCTGGCTTAGTGATAGTCAGTCCCAACTCCTATGGTCTTAAGCTGGCCTCTGGGCTGGACTCAAGAGCACACAGAAAATAGCAGGACAGAAAATACTGGAGAAGCTCAGGGAGTGAGACCTAGCCGAGCTCAGGCAAGGTTGAACATGGAATGTTGAAGCTAGCCTGCCAGGACTTTTGAAGGCTGGGTCTTGGAACAACATAATGCTGAATTTCAAAAGAGCTTTCTAGGAGAGGGAGACTTGGATGGGTAAAGGACAAACCCTACAGCCAATCTGGCACACACGCCCGAGTGCTTCAAGGTTCAGGTGCGCGATCTGCTGCTCAGCCTAGCTGGGGATCTTCCAGTGATCTGCCTTTCAGAGGTGGGTAGGGCCTGGACACCAGCCAGGTGCCCTCTTTCCCCCTTGCACACTCTACACCCAGCTGCCTCTATCTGGATTCCCATTTGCCAAGCGAGGGGCCACACACCCAGTATGAAGTGGAAACGCAGAGCTTCCGCACACTTGTACTCTACTGCATCCGAAGAGTCCTGCCATGGTGGTGAATGATTCAGCCAGAATGCTGTGGCGAAGACTCCAGGGCCAGAGTGGGCGGCGCCTCTCTGCTCCCTCCACAAAGCAGACCCAGGGAATTCGATATGCAAGGCCCCAGACCTGGTTCAGCTAGTGCCTCACTGGTTGTCTTGTTGACACAATGAGGATGTCAGAACTTGGTGACCAAGGGCCTTGTCCTACTTTTATGCTCCATATGATTCATTTCTGAAGGCTCATTTCATTTCATTCATTCAGAACAAAGCAAACCCTTCAGGGAAGGGCCTTCAGATACCTGGGAATATACTTCCAATTTGGGTGGCCAGAAGAAAGGATGGGGAGGTATGGAGCCTACTTATTTACTGTCTCATGAAAAAGCAAACTGAGGGACTCCATGATGTCAGGTTCCTCTAAAATGCTAACTTGCTGGATCTAGACAACAGCCGGGCCATTGCATTACAAAGCCAGAGGCATTCCCAAGATGCCTGGGTCTTTCAAGGGAAAGGTACCTGGTGCTGCCCTTGAACATTGGGCACTGAGATCTCAAGGTGTTGTGTTCAAGTTAGGCCTTTGTTGCAAATTCTCATGCTTTCTGTGTTAACAGCTGGATATGCCTCTGGGTCCCCAGAGCACATCATAGGTCCCAAAGCAAAGTAGTTCTTAAAAATCTGCTCAGCTAAGAGTACTGAGCTTCCCAGGTACGCATAAAGTCTCCCTCTGTGTGGGGCAGACAAACAGCCCTTCCCTTCTTCAAGCCCCTCAGAGACTTATGTGACAACAGGAAGAGCAGAGCATGACTCTTTCACTTATAAACTGTATTCTTTGTCAAGTCTCTTAACCTGAGCGTTAGTTTTTTCATCTATAAATTTTGGCAATCAATGTCCAAGTACTTTGCATACCAAAAAAGCTCTGGACAGTTGCACACGGCCCTGCTGCATATTTGGGGAAGGAGAGATGCACATCAGAGCGGTTGCGAGGAGGATGAGAAGGAATAGCAACTGCCTACCCCATGGGAATCTGTTTTTTTTCAAAGTGTGGCAAAGGTTACGCTTCAGGCTATCACTACTCGGAGGCAATCCAGCTTCCAAGCTTCTGGGCCGTAGGCTGGTGAAGACAGTCAGGCAGTAGAGGGAGCATGGAGGTGAATGGAACCACTTTTATCCCAAGCCCGGACACCAAGGTGTTGACCTGGGGACAGGCAGTGGCATGGGAAGGAGAGGGATGCGTACACAGTTGCCAGTGCTGCAGCGAGGTCACGTGGGCATGTCCTCTGTCCTCTCTGATTTGCCTATCTTCCTAAAATGACATGGTCTTTCCAGCTCTGACCTTCTGTCCAGCTTGATCACCGGACCATCCAGAATCTCTGGATGGAACCAACAGAACCTTTTTCCTGTGACCTGCTGGGCACACACTGCCCTGCTCTCCTGGGCTCAGTCCGTTTGCAGTGACTCCCCAAGCTTGGCTGGGCTTGTGGGTCTCCACCAGAACAAGAGGTTGAGGCAGGCTGAACTGGGCCTCCAGTGCTCACTGAAAAAGTGGTCCTACACTAGGCTGCTGCAGACCACAGCCTCTCAATGCCTTACCTTCACCCGGGGCCTCTCTTTGATCTTGAAGGACATGGCGTGGGGCACAGATGCTTAAGTACATGGGCCTGCGTGAGGGTGAGGCTGGAAGGGAAAGAGACAGCAGACAGCCTGGGACTCAGGTGGCTGCGGTGCTTACTTAGCAAGTCTCTTCACTTTTCTGAGCCTTGGTTTCCTCATGGACCAAATGGTAGGCAGAGTCTCCACTTCTCAGGGTTAAGCTACATGATGTATTTAAACTTCTCTGTGAACTGTGAGATACAGATTTTTTATTTTTATTAGTTTTTACTTACTGGTGTAGAAAGAACAGCAGTTACAAGGTCATTCCTAGGTCCTTTTCTTTCTTTTCTCCTTTCTGTTCCACCCAGCCTACCTGGAGGCAGCAGCCTCCAGCTCACTTTGGGTCCCTTCCCTTTCCTTCTAGAGCCTGTTTTCTTATTTGTCAAATGAGTGGATTAACTGACCCTGTTTCTCTCCTCCCAGGCCCAGTAAGTTACAGGTTCTGAAGTGCTTTGAAGTCTATGAAGCACCTGTACAAATGTAAAGGTTTCCTATTATTATTATCACTGTTATTATTTTGGCATCTTCAAACACATATGATATAACCTAGAACAGCCTTCACCCACCTTTACAAGATCAAAGAGAGTGGGAAGAGGTATTTGCAAATAAATGGATTAACACTGGCAAACATTGTTATTTTAAAATGAAATCTCACCAGCACCCCAAAAAAGACCACTCAGAACAGCTGGGTTTTCTCTTACTGGTTCTAAAGTTCTCTAGAAGGTGGGCTCCCCAACTCCCAACTCTGGGCCAAGGATGTTGATGGGCTCTGACCTCCTGGGTACAGCCAGACAGCTTCCAAGTCCTTCTAGCCCAAAGGTTTCTGATGTCTTTCTTCAATTAGGAGGAGACGGGGAAGGCATGTCCAAGTTTACATGAATTTAAAATGAAGATCATTATTTGAAAGTCCCAAATGTTGTCAGTGATCCCATTTTGTACAGTAAAATGTTCCTGCCCCACCCCTGAGGGGCTGCTGGCCCAGCTAAATGCTGGGTACAGAGGGGTAGTACTGGGTAATCCTGGCTCCTGGCTGAGCCTGGCAAGGGCCTTCTTGTCCAGGGGTCCCTCTTCTCCAAGATGAGCCCGTGTCTGCTGGGCCTCACCCGTGTGCTCCTCTCCTGATGCTTCCCACTCTCCTCTTCTCAGAACGAGGGCTACTGTCCTAAAAGCACAGCCTCTCCTTTTCAGCCAGCCCACCTGCTCCTTTTCCTAGGGATGGAGCCAGGTGAAAGATGAAGTTCCAGATGTCTTCACAGAATTTCCAAATGCTATTTCTTCATTTGCAATTTCTGTTCCTGCCACCTGCCCCCATATGGCCTCTGCCCCATCTTCAACCCCCACCGCCTCTGCAGTCCATGGGGGGAGAAAGCACAAACAAGAGCCCAGATATCATTCAGAGCTCAGCAGGTATGGGCGCTGATGACTTAATTTTTATAAAACCAAGCCAATCCATCCCTAGGTACATTTTTGTAGGCGACATGCCACTAGGTAGGAAGGCTGCATTTAATGCTAATTTACTGTGAGATGTAGGGAAGTCTTTTCCTCTTCTCTCAGCCTCAGTTTCCTCATGTGTCAAATAGGGAAATGGATGAGATGATTGCTAAGGTCCCTTCAGTACCATGAGTCTATGAAATGTTTATTGCTATTGCTTTTCCTTCACTATCCTGACCTTCAGAGCTGCCAGCACCCACCTGGAATGTGGTTCCTTCACTTTGGCCATGAATGGCACAAGGTAACCAAGAGCTTGGCCTGCCTGTCAGCCCCACAGACGGACACAGACGGGTGACCCCTGGCACTAGCAGAAGGGCAGAAGGGAATGGGAAAGAAATGTCATAGGTCCCCACTCTAATCAGGAGGAATCTCCTCATCAGAGTGGGTCCATGAGGGCTCAGAGGCCGAGGTCTGAATTATACAGGGCACCTGGCCTTCAAAGGCCTCGGGACACTGGGATCCCGCTACCCTGCAGCTGCTTGGCAGGTCTGAGGTCAAAATCACCTTTTGAGGAAGTGCCAGGTCAGTTAACATCATTGTGCAAATCAGAAGGTCCAGGCCCAAACATTATGACCAGACCTTTCAAACCAAAGCCATCAGGGCAAGGACCTCTTTTCCCTTCTTCACTCTCCTTCCCCAGTGCCCCAGTTCTCCCAAAGACTGGTTTCCCAGGTTCTCAGCCTGGGGTATGAAGCTGCTAATACAGCCCTACATAATCAGATGGTTTTATTCTCGGTCTGTTGCGATGGTTCTCAGAAGACATTTCATCATTTCTTTTGTGTCAGGACATGATAATGTCCTGAACTATCTTGCTTAAGAAAAACCAGAAAAGGAACAACTGCCCAGAGATGTGGCCTGTTCAACAGCTCTGAGTTCCTACCTCAGACCTGAGGGCCACATCTGTTTATGGTTTTCCAGCGAAGCCTGGCCTTCAGTTGAACCACTGCAACAAACCCACTCTCTGCTTGCCACGAGACTGGGATCCTGAAGACAGGACACTTGAGGAAGAAAAGAAGTGCAGAGGGGGTGTGGCCTGGTCAGGTAGGAGGAGCGGGTGGAGCTGGAAGGGAAGCAGCTAAGAGGGCACAATGGGGGAGAGGCAGGAGATTAGAAAAAGCAGCTTTTACAAAAACCAAAAATAAAAACCAAAACCATTAAAGATGCATAAAGTGACCCTTGCACTTCCATTCTCTCTTCTTGCAAATAGAGGTGGTGCTGCTAGGAAGCTGCTCCAGCACCGGTGTAAGACTTGAGTAGTTGCATACAATGTGTGACTCCAGATCTGGAGAGAAAGGGGAACCATTAGTGACAGTGATATCACATAGGCCACTTTGAGAAGCCTCCGGACCTCATTCCCGCAACTCTGGAGCCCTAAGTAGGGCTGTGTGCCCTCCTAGTGAAGATGTCTGCTCCCTACTTGTAGAACGTGTATTCTAGTGCCAAGACCCTGGAGGAGGCCAGGGGAGATACTGCCGTAGAAAAGAATTTAGTAACACCCTCAGCCTCATGCAGTTCCTGCATGTGTCAGGATATGCTGAGTGATATTACAGTGTCTCTACAAGCTAGTCACAGCCTTCTGGTCATGGGGATGACTGCACTTCTCGCTAGGAGTCCATTCATCCCAAGACCTTACAGCAGGGAAGCAACTGGTAACTCTGCCCCTATGGCACCTATGCTCCAGATTCAAGTCAGGGGCTCTGAGCTGCTCCCTGTGTGTTTCCCCCTCCCATCTTTCCCACCTTAGCCCCACTCACTTGGATGGGCTGTAGGCTTTACCAGTGCGGGGGCACGTAGCTGTACGCAGGGGTTCCTTGGGCCCTGTATGTTGGCATGGAGACGGGGTGTGCCCCAATCGCGGTGTGCTGGGGTGTAGTCAGCAGGGTACCTGAGTAGGCCGAGGAAAGGAAACCTGATGAGGATGCACCAGTGCAGGAACGAAGAGAACGGTCTTTTGCATGGTTGCTCCCCCCTGCCTGATGAATCACTCTCCCTTCCCTACCTCGCCAGCCTTCACCCCCTTAGGAGGAACTTTTCAGACACTGGAGGACAGAATCAAACACTATCTTTTCAAAGTCCCCTTTTCTTTGTGTGCTTCACTTATTGCGCACACACAAAGCAGTAACTGCTGCCGTCTGTGGTTCTATCTCCCATGTAACAATGTCCTCCTTCAGGGCAGGATTTTGGTCTGATTTCTGACGTAAGCCATTAATAGAGAAAGGGTGGCAAAGGGCCCTGAGCCTTTCACCTCTTATAATTTATCATGGGACAGGCCCTTTGCTGCTGTCTGCTAAATAATACTGCTCCTGCACCTTTTTTCCTGGGTCCCTCATGGCCACTAGAGTCCTCATGTCATCACCTCGCGCTCAAACTGCCCTGGCAGCCTCCTCACTGCCTCCTTGCTTCCAGCCTTTGCTCTTCTGACCCTGGCACTGGCCTGCAGCCAAAGAGAATGTGGAACACGATCCTTCCCTTCTGTGCGAAGCCCTCTGCAGGCGTCCCGGACTCACTGCCTTCTCCTTGCCCACTGCACAGCTGCCTTCCCACTCCCATCCTGTAAGCACCAGGCCATCTCCATTCTGTGAATGTACCATGCTCTCCATGCTCGCAGTCTTTCTGCCTGCTCTGTCCTTCCTCTTTCACGTCTCTGCTTAGCCTCTGTTCACCCTTTAAAGCCTTGTTCAGGGTGAAACTGTCCTCATCCCTGTGACAGTTTTACAGGGTCGTTCCTCTGGGTCCCCAGCACAGGATCTCTCATGCCACGCTACCGTCAGAGTCCCTGGAGAGGGATGGGTGCTGAGGCAGAGGCTGCCCTCACCTGCTGACATCGCCATGGTGGTGCCCGCGACCATGCCCATGGCCACACCGTTGGTCCTAGGGGCAGCAACAGGAGCCGGATAGATGGCAGAGGGAATGCTGTTGGGCTGGACGACCGTGGTGTGGTGGATGACATGGGGCTGAGCAGCATACACCGGCTGTGTGTAGTAGGCTCCCTAGAGGAAAGAGGCTGAGGTCACAGGGGCTCTTGGAGAGGTGGCAGGGGTAGGGGTGGGGGTCTCTGTTTTTCCCAGGCCCTAAGGAATGGAGTGAGAGAACCCCTGGTTCAGGGCACAAGTCTAGGTCCCAGCTGCAGTTCTGCTTTGTGTTTTTCTGTGACTGGTCCGTTCAATGTTGACTATTCCCCCATCCTGCTCTACCCCTAGAGCTGCTATGATTACCTAATGGGTTAAGAATTCTACTGCTTTAACTCTGGTGTTAGCGTTTTAGTGTTTATGTTTTATGGTAATGTTCTCTTATAGCTGTCTAAAATGTAAAGGCAGCGAGTACAGTCAATCAGTCTCTGAGCACAAGAATGAGGCTGGGGAACCCCAGAGTACATATGCTGAAAGGTCATCAGTGTATTGTTACACTGCTACCAGTACCGGCAATTTGCAAACCGGAAAACACCGGTGGATAGCACTTCCCAAGATGTCTCTTACTACTACTATTTCTCCTTAGGCCACAGGTAGGGATGGAGAAAATGGCCTGCCCAGCTCACCAGGCTGTTTCCTGCAATCACAGCCCATTGGGCTGCTGACCCCTGGGAAGAGTACATAGATGCCTCCAAGATGATGTTAATCCAGAAATTCTCAGTCTTCCCACTGAACAGTAAGAGTCGCACTGTAACCCCTGAAAATACTACCCAAACCAGCTTACCACAAATCAGAAAAATTGATCTCAAGTCTGTTTTCCTTTGTTTTTTAGACTACAAAAATAGTCTTGCCACTTACACCTCATGGAGAACTGCCACGCCAGGACAGTGTGTTACTCCAGCTGAGGGAGTCCAGACCGGTGCACAAAGGTGCAGAGAGAATAACTTGCCTAAAGTCACACAAGGTGCCAGTAGCAGAGCCCAGGCACTGCTCGCCTCTCTACCTGACTTAAGTTTACCAAGAAAGGGTAGAGTGGGAGTGGAGCGAGAAGACCAAGATACTGTATATAATTGTCTCATCCTGACTCATCCAAGGGCTCACTGTGTGACCTTGGACAAGCCGTTCCCCTCTGGGTCTCTGCTTCTTGTTTGTTTAAAGGAGTTGAGGTAGGTGGTCCCCGAGGGTCCACGCCCCTCTGACATTCTGGTCCCTGTTAATCGTTTTCTTTTTTGGTTTTTTGGTTTTTTTTCCGGTACCGGGAATTGAACTCACGACCTTGCGCTTGCCAGGCAGGCGCCGTGCTGCTGAGCTAAATCCCCAGCCCCCTGGTCCCTGTTAATCTTATGACTGAGGAGGACTGAGGGAGTGAGCAGGTTGCAGGAATATTGTTTCAATGATGCCACAGTGAGCTGGAGAGACCCAGAAATTCTCTTTTCCAGACCCTGCCCCACCCCACCCACCCCACCCAGGCTGCAGGCTCCTCTACCTGGAAAGAGGCAGACCCGGCCTCCATGTGTACCTACCTGGGCATATAGGTTCTGCTGGGGGTAGGCACTTCTGATTGGATACATGGCCGTCTGATAGGGGTTGGGTGATGGAGAGTAGGGGGGTGGAGCAGTATTACTCTGGGTTGGTGGGACCTTGTATGGTGTCCCCGCAGTATATCCTAAGCCAAGACAACAAGAGAGACCTCCAGTTACTTGGCAGAACAGCACTACTGGAAGGTAGCAGGTCCCAGGCACAATTCCCCAGACTAAGGCGGGCTGAATCCAGGCTGGAAACACAGAGGAGAACAAGCAAGAGAACAGGGCTCCACCCAGACAGCCCTGGCCCCAGAGGCAGCTCCCTCAGTCCTGGTGTGCAAAGTTGTGTGTATGATTCTGGGCATCTTCTGTTTCTCTGGGTTTCGGGGCTCTTATCTATAAAATACAGAGGCTGGAACCAGATGGTCTCTTACGGGCCCCTCTCAGCTCTGATAGCCTGGGGTTCTAGCTGTCTGTGAGAAAGGGAGGTATACTCAGATGGAGCCTTTAACCCATTCTCTACCTGCTATCTTCTTGCTTTCTCTGGCTCCTCACTCAGCACCCCACAGTACTTTTGCTCCTGGTCATGGCTTTCTCTTCCTTGCTTTCCCCTGACTTTTGCCCTGTTTTTCCCCCCTTATATCTTCCTCCTTTTATGGACTTCCCTTGACCACATTTAGCCATATGTGGTCTACTGAGTATGAAGTACTGAGTACGAAGGGGAACAGGCCATATAAAATACCACTCAGAGATCCTCATCTTCTGGGATACTAAAATCTACAGAGCTGGCTTTTCCTCTTCTGGGGCTTGGAGGAGGGTTACCCCTACCCTAAAGGCCTGATATCAGAGATCACAAAGATTCACACTGTCGTGGAACTCAGACTGTGTCTGCACCTCAGAAGCATGGACACAAGCTGAGGCTGAGCGGTCAGGCCCTAAGAAGCTCACAACTGGCCATGCAAACAAACTGTACTACCTGTGAGTGCTCTGGGGGAAAAGATCAGATCTTATGTTCACAGAAAGAACTTGAACCACAAGTCACTCAGGAACAAGACTGTCCTTACACGGTCCCCAGATGGAATTATCCTGTGGTATCAGATAATCATTAAGTGACTTCAATTCTCTCTCTTACATAACCTGCAGCTTGGACAGGGCAAATCATTTTAGGAACTTCTAAAGATCCTAAACTCTTCTAAGTTGAAGGGACAGTACCAAGGACTTAGCACTGAAGCCCCAGTGTAGAGGAGCGAGGGTAGCTTCTTCCCTGTGGTCCCATCCTCGGTGGGGCTGGTTGCTGTCACTGAACCTCTCTGGTCAGCTCTTTTGCCCATAACATGTTCACCAAGGACCCTTCAGCTGCAAGGAGCTGTTTCTACAAGAAGGGAATGGGCTGCACAGTGGAGAGGCACTTTCTTGGAAGAGAAGGGATCTAGGCTTCGGTCAAGCTTTCCCCCTAATGTGATGATGACTACCAAATATCTGGGCCTGAATTTCTTATTCTGTAAAACAGGAGGCTAAGATCGAAGGTCTCTTCCTAACTGAAATTCCATGGCTCTGAAGAGCCCAGGTCTATACTAACTCAAAGTAAAAGCAAGCTACCACATGGGCACAGACCCCAGTTTATACCACAGCTTTGGTATAATAACACCCCATGCCCCAGTGACTTGGCAGGACATGACAGTTACTGTTAATCTGCCACAAAAGGGGCGCTGTCCTCTCCCACCTGCAGATCTCTAACTGCTTCTATGAAAAACTGGTTTTGTGGCCAAATTTGTTTAGGAAATGAGTCACAATGAGGATGAAGTGGAAAGGATACATTAAAGAGAGGGCAGAACTGATAAGAAGTAGAAATCAACTGGAAATGGGAATGCAAGTCAGTTGAGGGAGAAGTCTAGAGCAGATTCCTCAAGGCTTCTAAATTGCAGGGCTAATTATGAGGTGTGGTCACAGGGAGAAAAGCAGGCATCATGGGGGTAAGAAGGTGTCTAGGTTTGCAGACATCTAGAAGGAGCCACCTGATGGAGTCTTCCCCTTGGGGACCCAGTACACTTCTCTAGGAAACAAAGGAGGTTCTCAAGATGGGAATGACTAAGAATGCGCAGCAGATGGTCAATACTGAGGATCTTAATAGTTGTTATGGGAGGAGAGGGGACAGAAGGGAAGTTCTACAGTTCGTTAAGTAGCAATGTAAAATAAAGACAAGTAGATTTGGTTTTTTATAATTCTATGATCCTGAGGAGTCCTTAAAATGCAAAGGTGAATGGTGAATCTCTAAGATATGGATATGTAGGAGATTATATTTCCCAGATTTATTTTACCACAGAATCTTTTATTCACACTATTAACAGTTAAGACAAGCCTGTGGTTTTCCGTAATTGATGCTTGTTTTGGTAAATAAAGCTTCAATATAACACACCTACCATAGGATAACTACTTTCCTCTTATAAGGGCAGTTATGGAGATCATATGGCCCCCAAAACCTGAAGTGCTGATTATCTAGCCCTTTACAGGAAAGTTTGCTGGCCCCTGATTTAAAGGAATAAAACAAGGTGTGAAGGGGTTGGAGGGCGTAGTTTAGTGTCAGAGTGCTTCTCTGGTGTGTGCAAGACCCTGGGTTCCATTCCAGGGCTGCAAAAATAAATACATAAAGTAAAATTTTAGGGGCTGGGGATTTAGCTCAGCGGCATAGCACCTGCTTGGCAAGCACAACAAGGTCGTGAGTTTGATTCCCAGTACTGGAAAAGAAAACAAAAACAAAACAAAACAAAAACCATAAAGTAAAATTTTAAAAACCCAAAACAAGAAAAAGGTATGGAGAATCTACTTGGACATGAATGATGTTTCTCTCTGAAAGTGCTACAGCACAAAACAGTAGTGACAAGCAATCTGACAACAGACTGACAGCTTGGGTCTAAACCTCAGCTCTGCTACTTAGTAGCTGTGGAGTACGCTGTCTCCTCGCCTGTAAAATGAGGATAGTGGGTTCTTGAGATAAATACATTAAATAAGTGCAAAGTGCCTAACATATTATAAGCACTTCATATAGGTTAGCTGTTATTATTTTCTCTTTAATTGAGAGATGGCAAGCTTTCTTCCCCGGGATAGCTGAGCAGAGAATGGTCTGAAAGATTATAGAAGACAGGAAATAAAATTAATGATATGGGCTGTTCCAACATCTAACATAGACTATAGGAATATAAAATTCTAATTTTTAAAAAAACACTACTAAATTGGGCTTGGTGGCGTTTGCCTGTAATCTCAGTACTTGGGAGGCTGAGGTAGGAGGTCTGCCATGAGTTTGAGGCCAACGTGGGCTATACAGTGAGCTCAAGGCCAGCCTGAACTACATTGTGAGACCCTGCCCCAAAAAAGCATAAATAAGTAAATAAATAAATAAATAAACACTACTAGGAACTGAACCAAGGCCTTCATATTATACTACATCAGCCCCCCTCCCCCTTTGAGAGGCTAGCTTTGAACTCACTGTGTAGCTCAGACTGGCCTCAAACTTGAAGTGCAGTGATCCTCTTGCCTGCCCTAGCGTACTAGGATTACAGGCACATGCTACCACGCCCAGCCTTTTTTTTTAAAGCTGGGTCTTATTAAGTCACTAAATTGCCCAGATTGGGCTTGAATTTGCAGTCCTCCTTCCTTACTCTCCCAGAGTGCTGGGATCACAGGCATGCACCACCATGCCCAACTGAGATTCTAAAATGCTATGGTTAAAGTGCTATGGTCTTGGTGGCTAACAAGCCACCAATGCTGGTGACTTTCCTTTATTCTCACGGAGGATGTGCTTTGAAATTTTTAACTTGCCCAGGGAAGGTGCATCAGCCCCATGGCCACAAGGACAACCAATTACAAAGTGTTGGGACTATTCCTCTGAGGAAAATCAAAAGGCTCCAAGAGACTGCAGATTTTGGTTTCCACATCTAAGAATAACCTTGTCTGAGAATGCTTCCCTCAGTTCATGTTATGAAATCATACACACACACACACACACACACACACTCAGAATACAAATCAGCAGCCAAAACACCCCTGGCAGTGAAAGAGATGATGCTGTAGAAGGCAGCCCTGCTTAACTGTCTACACACAGTTTGGGATAGAAGAAGCACAACTGAAGAAGTAGAAGGGATCTTAGCAATCTCCAAGGCAACAACAGCATTCACAGATGAGAGAAGGGATAGACGCTAAAGGAGACTACTGGCAGGGGCACTTCCTTTAAACACAATGGTTTTCAAGTTGCCATTTATCCAGAGGATCTTACAGGAGGCTGCAGAAACTGCCAAAGGCCCTTGCCCTGGGCTCCTTCAGAGTCACTCACTTCCTCTCTCTCAGGAATATCCTCATTTGTACTAGATAATTTCAGAGGGCCTTTCTAGGGCTGGCATTCTAATTTCAGCAGGAATTTTGTGAGAATTTTATGCAGGGGACTTTCTACAACAGACCAAAGCTCCGGCCAAGCCCCTTGGGAAACACTGACATTTCCCCAGGGTTGTGGCCTGGGGGAGTCAGAAAAGTGAAGTGGGTATCAGAAAAGTAAAGGCTTTATTACTGTGTGCATCTAAGTAAAAGAAGCTCTTCGCCTTGGTTGGGTTTTTTCTTTTTCTTTTTGAGACAGTCTTCATATGCAGTTCAGGCTGGCCTTGAATTCACTATGTAGCCCAGGCTGGCCTAGAGCATGTGACAATCTTCCTGCCTCAGCTCCCCAAGTACTAGGACTACAAGGATGCACCACCATGCCCGGGCTTGTTTATATTCTTTTTTTTTTTTTGGTACCGGGAGTCAAACTCATGACCTCAGGCTTGCCAGGCAAGCGCTTAAGCCGCTGAGCTATACCCCTGGCCCTTGGGCTTGTTTAAAAAAAAAAAAAAACTCATGATTTTTACCCAAATAACTTTAGGTTCAATTCACTTACTGGAGGCCTAACTACCCTGAAAATAATTCTAATCTGAAGGTCACACAGGACTTTCTAATGCTATGCCTTAAGCATAGTAGAGGCTTCCATGCAATCATCTCTCTTTCAGAGCTCAAGAGGGCAGCAATTTTCCCAAAATTGTGCAGCAGATCACAGAGAGCCAAGTCTAGAGTTCAGGGTTTATTATGCCCTGGGCAGAGCTCCTTCTGAGTTAAAAGCCTCTGCAGTACAATCTTGGGCATTTGGTATATTGGTCCTTGTGTCCCAATTTCACTAAGGCAATATCATGAGACAAGAATGGAATTGGATACCTGTCTTATAAAAGAGGCTTTGTTTATGATGTCTGTTGGTCTCAGGTCCCTAACCATAATTTTAGACTCCATCAAACAGGATAATAAGAGAGTGTATATATTAACAAGACAAAACTTTTGCAGCCCTCTCTTCAATCCTTCTTTACTGGCATAAATCCTTTTGAGTTGTAGAGCCCCTACCACCTTCAAAGGCACTGATCCTCACATCATGGATGCCTTTTAGACTGATTGGTTTATTGATCATCAGATTTATATGTCTGAACAAAACAAAGCTTTATGTCTACATCTTGCCTTGACCCTTAATTCTCCTTGTTGGTAGTCAAACAAGAGAATAATGAGTAAGTAAGAGGGAGACCTAATTAAAAACAGGCTTAGCAAGTGCTGGTGAAATTGATTTTTATTTTGAAACAAAGTCTCACTAAATTATCCAGGCTACCCTCCAACTTGTGATCCTCTTGCCTCAGCCTCCCAAGTAGCTAGGTATGAGCCACTTGGCCTGGTGCTACTAGACATTTCAATGGGATTTCAGGAAAATTTTAATATAATAAAAGGTAAGACCTTCTGCTACTCAGACTGCCTAACTGCAAAAAGGGCTACCTCTGGAAGGAATGAGCACCCTGTCCCTAGAGATGTGTGAGCCAAGGCTCAAAGGCCAACTACTGGTTAGGGCTGTAAGAGAGGAGGTCCTGCCGGGCATGGTGGCTGGTGGCACACTCCTGTAATCCCAGCACTCAGGAGGTTGAGGCAGGAGGATCAGAGGGAGTTCAAGGGCAGCCTGGGCTGCATAGTGAGACCCTGTTTCAAAAAAAAAAAAAAAAGAGCCCCTGTGGTATGAGGCATATTGGTATACAATTCCAAAGTGATAGACTCAAGAGCCTAATAGCAAGAGAGAACCTTAAAGATGACCTAGTCCAGATTTCTCAATTTATAATTCAAGAGGTCCAAAGCACGGACATGAATTTTCCAATGCTACATAGAACCCAAGGCTAGAATTCAACTCCGCTAGCTCTGTGGGCTTTTTTTTTACTATACAATAGTCGCTGTGCCTTTACGTATCTCTGTATGTATATGCAGATGTCAAAAAAAATACGTGTATGTCAATTTACATATGTAGTCGTACATATGTTCACTCATTTCTATCTCCAGTTATCTAGAAAAACTCCCTAATGACTATCATCCCTCTCTTATAGAGTAAAACCAGCCTCATTAGAAAAGCCAGTAATAGAATCTTAACCTGGGAGCCATCATTTTCCAGTCCTGTTTACTAGCTGGGCAGCACCATGCACATTACCTTCCTTCCTTTTTTTTTTTTTTTTTAAACATTACCTTTCTAACTCTCAGCTTTCAACTGAGAGGAAAATCTACCCAAATAACATCACAGAACTATACTCTTGATTAAGTGAGAAGGTGATTATGAAAGCATTTTCCCTAGAAGGCGAACAATGTTATATAAGTTGATCTTGACATCTGGAGATAATAAGGCAAAAATGGCACTGCATATTTTAAAAAATGAGAAAAATACAATGATTTTGTCTAGTCTATTGATTTAGTAGACTAATACTTCACTGTAACATCTTGCTGACAGCTTGTTCAGGCCATGCTGGCACGATATTAAAGACAAGTGTTCACCACATCCGAAGTTAATCATTCCTCTACTGCACAGTTCCTACGAGGCACAAAGTTCTTCCTTATATAGAGTTTAAACGACATTCAGTGACTTTTAAAAACACTGGTCTTATTTCCTCAGTGGAACTACCTTCTTAAAAATTAGATGTGACCAGGCCAGGCATGGTGGTACATGCCTGTTATTCCAGCACTTGAGAGGCTGAGGCAGGAGAATCATCATGAGTTCAAGGCCAGCCTGGGCTACATATGAGCCCCTGATCCTCCTGCCTCAGACTCCCGAGTGCTGCAATTACAGGCATGCACCACCACACCTGGTCAGGAAGATTATAAATTTGAAGCCAGCCAAGACAACTTAGTGAGACCCTGTTTCAAAATAAAAAAAATTTTAAAGGGCTGAGGCTGTAGCTTAGTGGTAAAGGGCTTGCCTAGCACATGGGAAATCCTGAATTTAACAATTTCTGGTACTGGAGAAAATAATAACAATAATAATAATAGTTAGGTGGGAAGGTGATAACATCAGTTACTGCCCTGAAGAGAAACAGCACTAATCTCACTGGCAAGCTGGCATCTATACTTGCATATATCTTGCTCCCACAGTGCAGCTTAGAGGAGGGCAGTGCTGTTGGTTTGTTTAATATGGGGGCATGTTTGCTCTCCAGGGGATATTCTGTCATGCTTTGAGACATTTTTGGCTGTCACAGTGACACTTGGCTACTGGTATCTAGTGGGTACAGAAGGGATGCACAGGCCACTCCTCCACTACAAAGAATTATCTGGCCCAGATGTCAACAGGGCTGAGGTTAAGAAACCTTGTTTTAGGGGAAAGCCCTCTGTCCGTTCCCACAAAATGAGTAACAGTCTCTCCCTAAACTGCTTGACTAGATGAATACTTCCTTCTCCCTCCCTCACTACTATGTCTTCCCAAAGCTGAGGACATGATCAAAGAGGATGATCTTTCCTGAATGAGGAAGGCCAATTTTTATAAGGGTAGAAGAACCTCTTAAAACAGTATTTATATTATAAACATCATTTTTAAAAAATCCCTTTCCTTTCTTCCTAAGAAATAAATCAGTCCCAACTAAAGGGAACAAGGAAAGGAAGAGACAGGCTGTATTTACTGAAAGCCGCAGAGGATGCTTGGTAAGTTCGGTTCTCGGTCCCGGTGTCCACTGGGAGGTGGAAGGTGCCTTCAGTGCCACAGGAAGATGAGTTCTGTGGCCAGGCCTGTTTCATCAGCAGGGTGGCTTAAGGGAAGACACAAGAATGGTATTAGGCAGAAATAAGAAGTGGGCACCACCAATCACAGACACAAAGCAAGGGTCTTGTGCTGGACAGAAACATATAACCCAAGGGGCCTGTTCAGACACACAGGATGATTCAGCCTTTCTAAGACAGGTTAATAGGTTGGGAGAAGCACCGAACTGAGTTCCCAAATGATTTTAAAACCAATGAAATCCACACTTATACTAAGAGAATCAGAACGTTCTACTTGCTACTGAAACCATGAAGATGCCTATGAATACTGCCTCTTTCTACCCAACTTTCTGTCTAAGGCTCTCTCATATTCCTCAGCTACTTTTTTTATTAACATGGAGCAACCTGGCAGTTTGGGTCTAATCAGCTAAGCTACTCCTCATCCTTTTTGTTTGTTTGTTTGTTTGTCTATTTCCTGGAAGTATACTGAATAAGTTGCTTTCAAATAAAACATTATTTCAAGTAGTTACTATAGTACGTGAACCCTGCTACAATACCATCTCCTCTACAGAGACTGACCTGTGGCTAGGGCAGTTTAAAAGGCATAGGACACTGTGGCTGCGCTCCTAGTTATCCAGCAGGCATTGCTTACTAATTTCTTCTCCTGGACACCTGACCAAAGCCTCTACACCTCTTACATACCCCTGAATATCTCCTGCTGGCATGCTACTCCACTCGAGATACCCCTTCATGATTAGAGGTGATCCTTTGGGCCAATATGAAAGTAAATGTCAAAGTTCAGGTAGATGTGAAAGAGGTGAGGCCCAGTCTGAGATCTATACAGACTTTCCAGGCTGATTATGATTCAAAGTTCAGCTTGGGAAATTTGAAAGATAATACTTCCTATGCTCTAGAACGGGGAGTCACTCTACAAACTTACCTTGTAGTATCCTAAGGGGAAGGAGAGAGGAAATAGGGCTCTGAAGGGTAGAAATGTCTAACTCTTTACTATACTTGCAAACACAGAGGAGAAGCATTTTTGAAACAAAATTTCTACTTATGGTAAAAAGAATGGTTTTGCTTTTAGTAATATATTTTCCACGCAAAGAAGGTCTTGGGAGTCTCAGATATAAGACTATTTTAAAGTCTATTTGCAGGGTGGCGTGGGGAGTTGCACTGGCAACAGTCAAATGTACCTGAAATATCTGAACAAGGGGCTGAGGTAAGACAGGGCAGAATAAGAAGAAAGCATGCCTAGATACTCTCTAATTCAAGTAGGATATTCTACCCTCCAGGGATTCTATAACCCCTGCCGCCTGCCAGGGTAATAGCTAAGGTCTCCGCTCCTTCTGTTATGGAAGTTCTAGGGCTAGAGAAGGTCAAGGACTCTGCTGTTTTTGCTGAACCAAGGCTAGAAGTGCAGCTGTTACAGGCTGACTCTGTGCTTGCATTAATGGCCCGCAATATATACAGCAGATGCTAAGGAATGAAAAGAAAATCATGGGCAGGAAAGTGACACGAAAAGAATTCTGGCAAGGGAAATGGAGGCCCTGCAGAACCCCATGTAGAGTGCAGGGCCTTTGCTGGATATCCAGACATGGCTCTGCAGACACTGGAGAAGGGCAGCCCATGTTAAATAATCATCTTGAACTCCTTTTCTAGGAGGCACAGTGCTGGTATGAAGCAGATTGCTAAAATATCCAATTAATGTTGAAAAACTTTATTAAGATCTCTTGTCTCCAAATTTAGAACCTGACACTCCATGTGGCTGGAAAGCTCCCTAGAAAGTTAAACATGTGGCTCTGAGAAGTCAAACAGAGCAAGCTCATGCCCACAAGACCTCATTGAGGTTCCACCGGGGAGCAGGACTGCATTTGCTGTATGAGTTTGGAGAATTTAGAAGCTCTGATTCATTGCAGTTTTTTCTTCCAAGTAGCATATACTTTACCATAATTTTCATCATAAGCCAAAAGTCTGACATTAGCCTGAAGGACTGTGTGACAATTAAAGTAAAGCAAAATTAACCAAAGAGATTGAGACCTAACTGTACTCAGCACTGAGGGGAGCGCCCCAGTGGACAGGAATACACATGGGTCACAGTCACCGCACACACGGTAGTTACGGTCTAACTGGGGATGCAACACAGCCACACACTAACCAGGGAGTGAACAAGACAGCATGACGCAGTGTATAATAATGTTACAGATTAACCAGAAAAGAAGCAACTGTGATTGTGCCTTTGTCTTTCCTAAGTGAGCACATAATTTAAACTATGTATTTTACTGAATAAAGGGCTATTTTCTTCCAGTTTCAGAGAACAAACAGTATTTTCTATACCTTCTCTGTATATTTGGAAAATTAGTAATTTAAATAATTGGGGAAAATGTAAAAACTAAAAACAACCCCCAAATTTCAGCTGTCAAACTGACCTCATTAATTAGCCTACCATATAACACTGCTCCTCCACATACAATTCCAAAGTAACCCACTCTGTTGGTGGCAGTGATGAGAGCTCAGTTGTGGAGCAAAGACAAACTGAAGCTTTTAGAGACATGCTGACGGAAGAGGGTGCTCTGATAGGCGGCCTGTTCTTGGGTGCCAGGATGGAACCACTTCATAAAAATGATTTTACATTTTGAACTGACAATGAAGTAGAGGTGTATCATATGTGAAATTGTTATTAAGATGCACATTTAAGACTAGTATACATCATGTACTTTACTGTATATGTGTTATCCTGCAAGTAAAAAGATGGAGCAAAAGAGAAAATCCTTGGTAGCAAAGGGCCACAGGCCCAGTCACAGCAGGCTACCCACATCCAGGTGCTGGGTTGTTCACTTCCCTGGTCATGGGACGCTCACACCCTCTGACACTCGAACAATCTGTTAAGCACACTTACAAAGAGGACAGGCAGTAAGGGACCATCATCCTGAGCGATGTACTAAGTCAGGAAATCTGAGATTTAGCCTGGGCTCTGCTACTTATTAGCTGTGGGATCTTGGGCAAGTCAGTCTTTCTAAGTTCTTTTTTGTTGTTGTAGGAAGTGACAGTAATAATCTTTGTTTTGTACTATTAATATGAAAATCAAAAGTAAAGTTGCAGTGGGTACAGTGATGCATGCCTATAATCCCAGTTGCTTGGGTGGCTGAGGCAGGAGAATGACAAGTTCCAGGCCGGCCTGGACAACTCAGTGAAACCCTGTCTTGAATGAAGAAAGAAGAGGAAGAGAAGAAGGAGTAGGAAAAGAACAAGGAAGAGTAGAAGAAGACGAGGAGGAAAGTGCTGGAGGTGTGGCTTAATGGTAGAGTGCTTGCCTTGCATGTATGAGGTCCTGCATTCAATCCCCAGTGCCAATCAAGCAATCAATTAAGCATCACCAGTCTTATAGTCTTTATTTCTGGTGTCTACTCGTTCACTTTTACAGTTGTGGACAGCTCCAAATGAAGCTCTCACCATCTTTCACTCAAGCTACTCCAACCGCTTTCCCAGTTTTGCTTTTGGTGTTAGAGATTGAATCTGGGGCCTTTGTGCTGAGCTACACCTCCAGCTCTTTTTACTTATTTTTTAACTTTTGCAAAAAAATTTTTTTGAGACAGAGTCTTGCTAAGTTGCCCAGATTAGGCTCAAACTTGCAAATGAATATCCTATCTCTACCTCCGAGTGTGGGGATTACAGGCATCTTCCACTGCTTTTTGTTTGTTTTTAAACATGTCCCCTTTAATCTCTAAACTAAGTGATCTAAGACATAACTAACTCTAACCACAAAATGTCCTTGCTTAACAATATTGCAAGGCTCTTCACTGGCTAGAATTCCTAAAGCTCTAGTTTGTATTCCTTGTTAGCACTCAAGGCCCCCATGATCTAGTCTAGATGATCTCTCTAGACTCATCATTTTCACTCGACAACCAACACTACAGCACACAAACTGTTTATCATGTTCAGAATATGCCAAGGAGTGTCACATCCCCGTGCATGTTCCACACTGCTAGCTCTTCTGACTCTTCTCACGCCACATGGTAAACATGTGCTCACCTGTTAATCATAACTGAAAACTACTATCTACTGTGAAGTCTTTCTTCTTCCCACCTCTGACCACAGCCCCTGTCTGCCTCCCTTACAGCTGATAATCCCAGTAACCTTAGAAGGCCCTGTCTGTACTTGGATGGTCTGTCTTAACAAACTAGAAGCTCCTTCAGAGCGGGAATTTTCTCTTTGTATCTTCAAAGGGTCAACTTAGGTCCTTGTACAGAATATTCTGTGACGTGAAATGTTCCATACATGTTCTTCATTTCAAATGCTGTAACTCAATGGGTGAGAAAACTTAAGACTTTCTAACTTTTCATGGAGTCTTCTGAATTCCTATGCTGTATCTTGAGACCAAAAAAGGGAAAAAGAAACAGACTTTCCATAAAGGATAAGTAAACACATCTGTAAATAACAATGTTGAAATAATAAAATTCTAAGAGAAGGGGATGTTAACATTTAAAGAGATCCAACAGATCACATGGAATAAAACACTTTATGGAAGGCCTAGAGATATTAGCAAATTGCCCAAGATCACACAGCCCACAGCAGTGGCAAGAAATTTCACAGCTCATCTTCTAAAAGATGTGCCATATATAAATTCAATTCCAGACATCCAAATAATCAAAGTGTGCAGAGATATCACAAAAACATTGTCCTGAGCAGCCCAGCTGAAGGTGGTATAAGTGGCAAGTTCCTCCCATGGTCCCTTCCTGTCTATGACAAATAGTACCTAGTCAGGTTATACTGCTGGGACCCTCACAGGTGCCCAGAAGTTCCCGTGGTGCCTTGGGCCTGGAGTCCACACTGCCCTGAGAACTCAGCTCTGATTCCTCACTCATTGGCACAGGAGGCCCCCACCTTTCACCATCCAAGAACAACCTCCCCCCACCCGCCAAAATGAGTCCAATATGAGTTTGGGCTAAGGGAACAGACTATATCTAAAGTCAACCAGGTCTTCAAACATGTCAGACTGCCAATGGAAATGAAAAATCTGACCCTGGGGCAGACTGGTATTTTGGGTTTTATAAGCATAATCCAGGGAATCCATCACAGAGGCTGCCACAAAGCCAACAGAGAAGCCACATACAGGCCCTGGAATTTTTGTTCATTTGTTTGAATTCACCAGCCAGGTTAGGGTGAGAGGTGTCTTTCAGTGCCATGATCCTTCATTTGCTGCCCTAGGGAAATGGTTCATGTGTGTCTCCAACCCATGATTTTGCACCATCAGACATGTTCCTGCATGCTTTAGGAACTGCTGCTGAGCCACCTGGGGGGAGCCCAAGCCTAGGGGATGGGATTTGGGGAGGAAAGGAGGGGATCTACCATTGTTACAAGATAACACATTCATAGGCTGTAATACAATGAGGAAAATAGCTCTCCTACCATAAGCTGAATGCAGGAACTGAAATTCTGTTGGATAGAAACGTTAGTTGAAATTACCACTAAGAATCTGTGCAAAGTTGTGCATATCACAGTTACATAAACAGACTTTGTTTTGAGACAGCAGTTTTCCCCCAGGCTGCATGAGAAATGGTGAATGTAGAAGGTGTGAAGAGCCACTACCCTGGAGAGGGTGACAGACTTGCCATCTAGGAAAAGTTCATCCATTGCACAGGGGCACCTTCCTAGATACCATAATGGCATCCTCCAGGCAGCTGACCTAGAAGCTACCTGATGTGAACAAGTCCCAGATCCTGGTATGTACTTATCCACGATAAGAATGCAAAAAATTGCAGATGTACTCACACATGACAGAGGCTTCAGGTATAGAAAAAGTGAAGATTCAGGGTCAATTTTGCCTTCGTGTCTCTTAACAGTACAGATATCTAGGCTCAATGCAGAGTCACTCCCTCCCTGAAGCCTGCAGGACGGTATGGTACTACAGAAGGAGCACAGGCTTGAGGTCAAAACAGTGGGTTTGAATCCCAGCTCTACTGATCTTTTAGCTATGTCACTTCAGATAATTTACTTAACCTCTCTGAGCAAAATTAGAGAAAGCAGCTCTAACTCACAAGATTAAGGTGAAGTGGCCATTTGTAACATGCCCTGCACAGATCAAGGCAGGTATTCAGAGACTGCATGCTCCTTCCTCTACCCCTCCTCATGTTTCTTACATATAAAATGGGAATAACACGTCTGTACTTTATAGAATGTTATGAAAAATTAAATGAGTCAATAAATGAAACTGCTTTGTAAACAGATTCTCGTGAGGAGGTATTTCAATTTTATTTATATTATTTATCCTGGTTATCCTTCCTTTCAAGTCAGATTGTCATTAACATGATAAACCTTTCGTTCTCCTGATTGTGAAAGCAAAATCTTGGTTGGCTCCTGTTTCCTGGGGGGCCAAACAGATCGTAGAAGGTCCCCCAAGTCATTAAGATCTTGGAAGTATCCACACTGTGTTCAGGACCAATGAAAAACTAAAAGGCTTCCCTGCATCATGGACAGATGACATGTTAAAGTACTCAGAAGTGCTAAAAATAACTCTCTCTGAAGCAACATCTTGGTCTCCTTGAAGCAACTGGAAGAAATTTAAACATGAAATCCTGGCTGTATGTAGGCAACTACTCCAGTGCTTTGGGAACCTCCTGTATCACAAAAGGCTGGCCTGGCAGGAAGCGGAGAGGAATCTATGCTGTCCTCTCCAACCTTGAGCTGGGTCCTCCATGGAGGAAATTTCCCCCACTGCAATCAGGAGGCTTGTGAATGCTGGCCAACATCCCATGCTATGAAGCAAACCAGTGGGAGAGCCGGTGCGTGCCTGTGTATGCAGGCATGACTCAAAAGGGAAAGGGATTTCTTCAAGGTCACACCAAACTCAGAAGTACAGTTAGTGCTATTGCCTGGGTCCTCCGACTCCCAGTCTGAGGCTGTCCAACACAAGGCACTAGCACTACACTCTTTGTGGATTTTGTGGGTTTCTGACCAAATGATTCTTTTAGTCATAGCCTGGAAATATGCTGACCTCTAAAAAAAAAAAAAATGGGGAAAACTGAGCAGAAAAATGAGGAATTTTGGCAGAAAATGAGGGCTTTTAAAAAAATATTAAAACAATACCCTATATATGCCAGCAACTTTCCAGTTTCTCTCCCTCTCTCTCTCTCTCTCTCTCTCTCTCTCTCTCTCACACACACACACACACACACACACACACACACACACACAGTTGCAGCCTCCTTTCTGTACTACCTGCCCGTGCCAGCCTGCCTGCTCTAGACTGCCCCCTAATTTCTTTCTGCCTATTGCTTCAAAGAAGGTAGTGGTTAAGATCTCACTCATGTGGGTGTTGTGGCAGGATGTTGGGCTTGGATCTTTGAAGTAGTTACCTGACTTCTCTCAAGTTTTAGTTTTCCCATTTGGAAAATGGGAGTAACAACAGTACTGGCCTCAATGGTTTGTTTTCACATATAACATGTGAACATGTGTAGTGAGCTTAAAATAGTCTAGCACATAGGAATTCAATAAATAGTATAGCTATTTATTTCCTCCACTTGCCAAACGAACTCTAAAACAAGCCTACAATTTCTCAGCAGAAGTGCTGAACACTGTGAGAAATTAGTCTAGTGCTGGGGACTGGAGCCTGGATGAATTCATGGCCTCAGCCAGCCTCCAGGGTTGGTCTGCTCTGCCTCACTGCTTCCTGGGAGGCTCTTACACCTGGACTTTGGTCTTTTGGAGCTGTCCCTTCCTCTCTCATCTCTGGGTCAGCAAATCTAGGTCATTTATCCTGAGCATATATATCCACCTGTGTGTGACCTTACCATTGGTCTGAGTGGAAGAGCTGCCCTCTCATGTCAGGCCCCTCTCCTCTCCCTGCTACTTAACTCCTCAAAATAAGGAAGAGAACTGAGCTCTGGACTTCTGCCCCCACCACAGCGCCCAAGGACTCCTGGCTCTGTCTGTCATCACTCTTGTGTCCCCTCCACTTGCTCCTTCCCATCAGTGCTTGTTTAACCATGCTCCCACCTGAAAAACCCTCCTTTGACCCCACATTTCCTTCTAGTCAATGGCCTTTTGTTTCGCTTTTTCTGGCAGCCAATTTTCTTATAAACACAGTCTTTACCTGCTACATCTACTTCCCTCCCCAGTTCACTGTGCTCTGCTTTCCAGCCTTCTCACCTCCCTCCTTGCAGCCAATGAAGTCACTGGGCCTCCGGACTATGAAGACAATGAATCTTTCTCACTCCTGATCTTACTTGACCTTCTACATCTCACCTTACTTTGTTTCAGACTAGTTTACAAAGCCAATTTAAGGCACTAAGATTTAAATCACTGATATATCATGACAGATTTGATAATCAGAGCCACCATAGTTTTTCAGATACAACTTACCTAATTTAAGAATTTTATCAGAGACAATTTGTGAAGCTCTTATTGTTGCTGTTTTCTCTTCTTGAATTTTTTGGGAAATACTGTATTTTAGTGATTAAAAGTAAATACAGGATGTGGATGTAGCTCAGTGGTAGAGTGCTTGCCAAGCATACACAAAATCCTAGGTTCATTCCCCAGCACCACCCACACAAAATAATAACAAGTACTACTCTTTTTTAAGGACATGTGTGTTGGTGCACACCTGTAATCCCAGGACTGGGGAGGCTGAAGCAGAAAGATTTGCTGTAAGTTTGAGACCAGCCTGAGGTGCATAGTAACTTCAGGGCCAGCCTGGACTACACAGCAAGACCTTATCTCAAAAAAACAAAACAAAACAACACACAGCTATTCTTTTTTTAAAAACTAAATACAGAAGCCAGACATGGTGGTGCAGGCCTATACCCAGCACTTAGGAGGCTAAGGCCAGCCTGGGCCACATAGTGAGTTCAAGGCCAGCCTCAACTATATATCGAGACCTTATTTTTAAAAAGTAAATATAAAATTAGTGCTGAGATACCATTATAGATTCTTAGCTCATGTGTTACTGCTTCTTTACAAGCTCTTACAGAGAAGGCAACTTCCTAAAGGCTGAATCACCCAGTACCTCCTGGAGTACCTCAGACATAACAGGGCCAAAATAAATGCTTGTGTCATTACATGTCTATGTGATAACTTTAGGAGTTATTATAATTTATTTCCACAGAATAGTTTTTCTTTGTCAAAAAAAAGGAAGCTGTCTGGTAACTTCATGGGAGGGAGGAAGGGAAGGGAAGAGAGAGAGAAAGAGAAAGAGAGAGAATGGGGTTATGATATAATTCCAGGGCTTAAGTCTAGGTCTTTGGACCCACCCTATGTTCCTTTCTGCTTTAATCACCCTAAAAGAAAGGGAATGAAAGGGAATGACTGGCACAGAAAAGCATGGGACTGAGATAGGACATCTGCCAAGAATTCTACTTCCTAAGCTCTTGGAGATTCACTGGACATGGGATGAAAACACTGCTTCTCTCTCGATCTGTGCTGACAAGAGAAAAGGTTGAACTGGAGAATGTCTGAGGTCTTTTCAAGATTTCTAATTTTATAATAAGTATAAAAACAAGAAAATGGGATCTGATCCTTACAAATTTGTAGTTCAGATTCATCTAGCCCCCCTTCACAGTTTCAATCACTGCTACTGCTTCTAGGCTCCCAACAGCGCCCACATCTCCATGGCTTTGCCATGTTCTGTGCGGCCTGGAATGCCCACTCCTTTGTGCTTAACAGAACGTCTCTTCCTTCTCCCTCAAGTTTCTTTCACAAGCTCCTCTGTGAAAGTTCACCTGTACAGTACTCTCATCCCCAGGCATCCTGTGGGTCCCTCCTCTCTTCTAACATGTATCCTTTTTAGAATACTTCTATTGCACTGCAATGAATCTGTTTGTATGCTAGGCTCTAAAGTGGACTGTGAACTACTGCAGAAAAAGATGGCACCTGTGAATTTTTCTATCCCAGTACAGAGGACATTAAACAAATAAATATACTACATACTTGTTGATTAAATAAAGAAGAGCTTACATAAAGTCATTGACAACCCTGAAGTAGGCAGTGATTCTGTATTTGAATCTCAGAGGTGGTGACTTGCTCAGGGCTTTACCAGTGAGCTGGGTAATCAGGATTCAAACCCAGGGCTTTCTAATCGCAGAGCCCATACTTTCCCTGCTCTTGAATGTGAAAGCACTTGCTGAGCAAAAAGCTTAGGATCTGCATAAAACCTCTGCAATGCTCCTGTAAGCCTTTTCAGTGTTCTCAAACCCATTTCAATTTATATCTAAGAAATAATGGGCTTTCACTATTTTGGAAAACATGTAGTTTGTCTCAGCTTAAAAGCTCTTTAGTCTGTAGTGGCAAGTCTCTCACTCTCTTCCCATTTATACCCCAGGAGTCTGCTGCATGTGTGTTTGCATGTTTCCCACTGGCAGCCTCAGGGGAAACCAAGCAAAGAATAGATATGAACATTGCTAAGAAAAGCATAAAAGGTTCTGTGAAGAAGATGCATGTCTCATATATTCCAGAGCAGGAGACACTGGCCATCCTTAATTCCCAAGGAGCATGAAAATTTTATTCCCACCCCCACCCTGAGGCTGATCTGCCCTAGTTCCCAGAGGGGATTCCTAGGAAAATCAAGCCTGGATAGGTTGAGCCCAGAGCAATTAAGGATAGGAAAAGGCCAGCAGGTGGGTTTATTTTTCCAAATGAAGTTCTACCTCCCCCACCATTGACCACTGTTGTCCACACTCTGCTTACCTGGAGCATAACTGGGGTTATTGGTTGGGTACAGGCTGGGATTGTAGGCAGGGGCTGCTGCCGGGTAGGCTGTGGGGTAACCTATAAAGAGACAAGAAAAGGCTTACTTAGGCAAAAACAAAACAAAACAAAACAAAAACAAAAAAACAGATTTCTGAGCAAATAGAATCCAAGTCCCAGGCTTGGCTTTTGGTCTCTTCATAGGCCATTTCAGATTGTATATATGACCAGTTTCAGACTTTCAAGAAAAAACTAATCCATATCACAACCCCAATATATGCAGATTTTCTGGTCTATTTACAACACATGAAGTATTTCTATATTCTTATTGTAAAAAAAAAAAAAGAAAAAAAAGAAAAGGAAACAACACAGAAGTGTATATGGTAAAAATTATGTTTATTTTCACATTCCTGCTACAACACTACTCTCTTTCTCAGAGGTAAATACATTAACAGTTTTGCATCTACTTTTCCAGATAAACTAGTTTGTATGCTTTTTTTGTTTTTGTTGTTTTGGAGACAGGGTCTTGCTATGTAGTCCGGGTTACCTTTAAACTCCCAATCCTCTTGCCTCAGCCTCTTGAGTGCTGGGATTATAGGTATGCAACAACATCAAAGAATAAGTAGTGGGAAAGATGCTCATAGCCAGCTCCCAACAGCACGTACAAGTTCATTGTAAGATAGTTCCACTTCCAATTGTAAGATTCCAGTTCATTGTATCTTACAATTGTATCTTATTGTAACTTACAATTCCAGTTCATTGTAAGATAGTATATATAGGTTTTTAAAAATAATTTTCTGTTGTAGTGCAATAAGAAAATTTTCCATTTTAACCATTTAAGTGTACCACTAAGTAGCATTAATTACATTCACAAAATTATGCAGCTATCATTAGCATGTTTTTACAACCTTTTCATTGTCCAAAACAAAAACTCTGTAACCATGAATAATTTTCCACCCTTCCAACCCCCACCCTGTAATCGCTAATCTACTTTCAGTCTATGATTTTGCCTACTTTAGGTATTTGATAAAGTGAATCATGGTCTATTTGTCTTTTTGTGTCTGGATTCATTCATTCAGCATTGTTTTTAAAGTTCAATCGTGTTACAAAATGTATCAGAACTTATTTCCTTTTATGGCTGAATTATATTCCATTTTACATTATACACACACACACACACACACATATTTTGCTTATCTAGTCACCTAATAAGGGGCAACTGGGTAATTTCTACGTTTTGACTACTGTGAACAATAGTGCAAAGAAAACTGGTATACAAATACCTAAGTTCTTGTTTTCAATTCTTATGGCATCTCTTTGTTGCCCAGCCTGGCCTTGAATTCATGATCTTCCCGAATACATGGGATTACAGGTATGAACTACCATACTTGGCTCACATTTAGGTTTTAGGAATTTTTTTTTTTTTTTTTTTTGAGACAGAGTCTTCTTATAATAGGGTCTCACCATGTAGTGCAGGCTAGCCTTGAAATCGCTTATTAGCCCAGGTTGGCCTAGAACTCATGGCAATCCTCCTGCCTTGGCCTCCTGAGTGCTAGGATTACAGGTGTGTGCCACCATGCCCAGCTTGATTTAGGTTTTTAAGGAATCAGCAAACTGTTTTTCAATGGCTGCACCGTTATATATGAGGATTCAAATTTTTTCACATCCTCACTAACACTTGTTTTTCTGTTTCTTTTTTTAATCATAGCTTTCAGTTGCGCATGGTGGGACATGTCTGTAATTCCAGTACTCTGGGAGACTGAGGAAGAAGGAATCTTGAGTTTGATCCCAGTCTTGGCAATTTAGTGACTTAGTGAGACCCTGTCTCAAAATAAAAAAGGACTGGGGATGTAACTCTGCAAAGGCCTATGGTTCAATCTCTAGTACCAACAGAACAGAACAGAACACCAAACCATAGTTGGTGCGATATGGTATTGCATTACTGTTTTGATTTACACTTTCCTAATGACCAGTGCTTAAACAATATTCAGCATCTTTTTATGTGCCACTTGGATAGTTGTATATTTTCTTTGGAGAGCTGTCTACTCAAATCATTTGTCCATTTAAAAAACTGAACTGTCTTTTTGCTGTTGTGTTGTAGGAATTCTTTATATGACCTGAATATGGAGACATTATCAGACATAAGCTCAGATATAGTTCCTTCATTCCATGGGTTGTCTTCTCACTTTCTTGATGATGCCTTTGATGCAAATCTTTAAAACTTTAAATTCAACTTTTTTTTTTTTTTTCCTTTTGTTGCTTGTACTTTTGGTGTCATATCTAAGAGTCTACTGTCAAACTTAAGGTCAGGAAGATTTACCTTTGTGTTTTCTGCTAAGCATTTTAGGGTTTATACTCACATTTAAATCATTGAAAAAAAATTTTTGGGGGATGGTACTGGGAACTGAACCTAAGGGCCACTCTACCACTGAAGCCCTTTTTAAAATTTTGAGGCAGGGTCTCACAATTACCAGGCTGGTCTTGAACTTGGGGTCCTCCTGCCTTAGCTGCCCAACGAGGAGGAATTAAAGGTGTATCATCACACTGGACCACTGATCCATTTTGAGTTAATGTTTATATACGGTATGAGGTAGGGGTTTATAAAGTTTTATATGCTACTTTTTCACTTAAACATCATAAGCATTTTTCTATGTAATTATACATTCTTCAAAAACATCATTTATTATATAGATACATCAGATCACTTAAACATTACCCCTATTTTTAGATGTTCAGGTTGTTTGAAAATTTTCATTTTTATTGTAGCTAAGAACCTAAAACCACCTAAATATATCTTTGGCTGCAACTCCTTCTTTAAAAATCAGCGGTAGATAGATGAGGTGATGGACACCTATCATTCCAGCATTCAGTAGACTGAGGAAGGAGGAATTCAAGTTCAAGGTCAGCCTGGGCTGCATAGCTAGGTCAAGGCTGACTTAAACCATGTAGCAAGATGTTGTCTCAAAAAACAAAAGGGCCTATTTTAAAAGTTCATTCATTCAAAATATTGAGCATCTACTTTTTACCAGACACTAGTATAGAGGTTTTTATCAGTGAACAAAAGAAATAACCTACCCTTGTGAAGCTTAAGCAGGAGGAAGAATGAATAAATAATAAACATAAACAAAATATTAAATGCCATGAGAAACAGAAAAAGGGCACTTTAAAGGACATCAGAACTGTCTGTGTTGCGGGTGAAAAGCACTGCAATATTACAAACAATAATCAGGGTAAGAGACATTGAAAAGGTAAGATTTCTACAAAGATGTGAAGGAAATGATATGATTAAACAGCAGAAGAAAGAACACTTCAGCCAAAGTAAATAATACAAAGGCTCTACACCAGGAGCACAGGGGACATGTCAGAAGAGCTGCAAAGAGGCCAGTGTGGTGGAGTGGAACAAATGAGGGGTACAGCAGTAGTGGAGGAAGTCAGAAAGATAAAGGGTTGTTCAGTTCATGTAGGGCCTTATAAAGCCACTGTAAGGACTTAAAACTTATTCTGTGTGAAATGACAAGCTAGCACAGGGTTTGAACAGGAGAATACCACCATCTGACTTGTGTTTGGAAAGGATCACTCTGAGGGCTGTGTCGGAAATAGATGATTTGGGGTTAAGGGTAGAGAAGCACAAAGAACAGCTAGGAGACTACATGTAAGAGTATTCATATACTTTGTCACATAGCTTTCTAGAAACCTAGCAATCTGAACGTCCACTAGCAGCATGTAAGTGCCTATCTCACTATTCCTTGTAGTTTTTAAATGCTCATTTATTTGACTGACAATGGAAAGCACTTTTAAAACTCAAAGATTAAATCCCTAAATCCCTGAAAGCTTCTTGGGGATTTGTAAATACTGGAGCTTTAATAATGTATCTTTGTTAATATGCTATTCCCTAAATCCTTTCCAACTACAAAGAAAATTCATTCCCCTTTCCAATCATTTTTTGATTTTTATAATTGAGGCAGCCAACTTGTCACTTAATCAGCAATCCAGAGGTGTGCCACTTCTCCAGAAGTCAGTCAGGGAGGGGTCTTATCTGGGAAGCTAAGTGACCCAGTCTCATGGTTGAAATTTGTATTCAGCTTCATGTGAGAGTTTACGCAGTCACACAGGTAATCACCGTCCTGTCATTTCAGATGTGTTTTACTTTAGGAGCGATTACAGAACTTCTTTCAATGTTTTTAAGCACAGACATTCCCCCTTTAATAACTGGTCTGCATTACTCAACTAATTGCACTGGTCACTACTAATTACTCAACTAATTGTACAGTTGATTGCACTGGTCACTAAATGAAGAATTATATAGAATATATGTACATTACAATATCCAGGACAAATGGTCAAAGAAAACTTCAACTTGATTACTTTGCTTTAATTTGCACAACTTGTACATGCAGTACTGTAATGTGTAACAGAACATAAAACTATACTGTACAGCACAGTCAGCAAAAATCAGTACTGCAGTATAAAAAGACATTGAGGCTCTATAAACAAATGTACAGAACTATACCAAAAAAAAAAGGACAGGTTGTTAGGGCTGAGTGGTGGGTTGGTTGCATGAGTTCAGGTCATAAATCCAAACAGTCGTTAACCAGGTAGGTTGTTAAACGGGGAATAACAATACTTTTCTGTTGTTGTCAAGGTGGTGGTAGAACCTGTGGTTGAACCACAGGGCTTTTTCCCTGAGATATATGAGTTACACACCCCTACCCACACCGACACCCATCCACACTTTTACTTTCAAGATAAGGTCTTGTTAAGGCACCAACTTGCCCAGCCTGGGCTCAAACCTGAAATCATCCTGCTTCAGTGTCTCATTAATGCTGGGATTGCACACATGCACAATCACTCTTGGCGCAGAATTATTTTCAATTCACGTGAATCTGACATATATTATAGAATGGCAGCATTAGAGGAAGCTTTATTTGACTATTTTTCGTTTTACAGGTGACATGTGTAGACCTAAGCAAGGGAAAGGACTTAAGGTCATAGTTGCTGGGGTTAGAAAGCGTCTTAAAGGCCAGTTAGTCTAATTCCACATTTGGGGCCACAGCCTCTATTACAACACTCTCATGAACTCA